GAGAAAATGGTCGAGGGGCAAGAAGAAGTGGTAGAAGAGAAGAAAAGAGCAACAAGACGATGAAGATACAGAAGTAGATGATGAATAGTAAGAAAACGAGAAAGAGAACATGAGGAAAAAAAGGATGTAGGGAAAAGAAAGAGGAATAACAATGTTGTGGGGAAGAAAGAAAGCTGAAAGTAATGGAAAAAAAGATACGCGATTAGAAAGTAAATAAAGATAAGTTTAAAAAGTCATTATGCAAACATAAATGACGAGAGCGTATTTTCCTCCTAATAATATTAACGCTAGGACCAGGAAAAAATATCGGTAGGCACGAGATCCTTACCCCATTCTCTTTCAAATGAGCCGGCTATCGTCGAAGTCTGTACAGTTTAATGAAAAATAGTGGAGCGTATACGAATACATACAAATTTTGAAATGGGCAGTAGTTTTACTTTTATTCAAAGTGTCTACATATGAAACTTTTTATAAATGCTTTCGTAAATAGCATTGCGCATTGTCTACATTAGAAATTTAATTGAATACCTTCATAAATAAAACATACAGCATGCGTTAACAGTAATTTTGAAACCGGTATTAGTTTTAGTTTCATTCGAGGTGCCTACATATGATATTTCGTTTAACTGCTTTCATAAATAAGAAAGTTGCCATTGCGCATGCGCAAAACAACATTTTGAAAATGTCGTTAATTTTACTTATATTCGTAGTGTTTACATATAAAGTTTCATTTAAATATCTTCATAAATAAAAAATTTAGCATCGCACATGCGTTAAACCAAATTTTTGACACTGCGCATGCGCAAAACCAAAAAATATGGGTATGCACGGAATCCTTGGCCCAAGCCCTTTCAAATGAGCCCTATATCGCCAAAATGGGTTCAGTGGTTTAGGAGTACGTGTGTGACAGACGGACGGACGGACGTCAAAGTGCAGCCAATAGCGATTTTTCACTTTGAGGAAAATACGCAAAAAAACCATCAGAGAAAGGAGGAGGGTAAGCACAAAATTAAGAACCAGAGGTGGATACGAAAAAGAAGGTTAGAGGAAAAAGAGTATAAAAATATGACGACTTGAAGTGTTGGGAGATCATGAAAAGCAAAAAAATTAGCGAAGAGAGAGGAAAAGACAAGAATATTATAAGTTAAGGGCAAAGAATATTAGGCAAAAAAAGAGGAAAAAAAGAAAACCGCAAGAGGAACATAAAACATCACCAATGGATATATTTCTTGCAGACGTCTCAATCGCCCTTTGTGAGTACCCTCTTCCGACAATCCGTTCTTGAGGTATAAGGGAATATATCCGATCACTATAAGCGGTCGAGGAGGAGGGCTATGGTTGGTAGAAATTAATTCCTTTCGTTGAGACTTTTCATTAGAGTACCATGAAGGATAAAACTAGTTCCACTCCCCCCTTCCCCCTCCGCCCCGTACTTTGATAAGAGGACAGAAAGTAGTAGCAGTAGTTGGTAGAAAACGGTTCCTTTCGTTGAGACCTTTAATTAGTGTACCCCCCCCCCCTTTCTAAACTTTAACTTGGCACCACTAAAGGCATGCGTATGCTAAATCTGAGACCAATTGGTTGTCGTATGTAAAAGTTATGCACGTTTTACTTTCAAGAACAGCATCTCAGGAAATAATTCGTGTGGCAGGGAGGGGGGGGGCTCTAGACGGCGAATTTTGATGGCCGTCTGGCACACCTTCAAGGTATAGGCTACCTACTGCAAAAAATTCCAGGACTCTAAGACCATTTCCATAGAAGTAGTTCGGAACGGCAGAAGTGGGTCCGGACGGACGGACAAAACGCAAACAATAGCACATTTTTTTAATTCTTAAAAAATGCGCTAAAAAGACAGAGAAGAGAATATAGGAGGAAAGTGAAGAGAGAAAAAGGAAAAACATAACAAGGCAGATGAGAGAAACACTAGTAGAAGAATGTGACAGGAATATAAAGGTAATAAGAAATATAAGAAAGATAATGAAAAATAAAAACAAAAATGGATAATAAAAATAGAGAGATTAAAAAGGAAACTAATAAACATAGAAGAAAGGTGATTAAAACACGCCGAGCTTTAAAGCTTGTTAAGTAACGTTACTTCAAATATGACATATGAAACTATATTTGTAATTTGGGATTGAAATAAAATATCCTCTCGGACCGCTTTTTGTAAATGAAAAAGGTGTCTTTGGCTCGTACCCTTTGTGGGAAGCTTTCACAAACGCACGTAGTTTAGAGTAGGTATGCTGCCAAATCTGTTCCACTTTCTAATCGCAATATTGATTGAAGTTTTGAATGAATGCACGAAGGGTAGAAGATTTAGACATTTCCTTAATATATGACAGCATGAACGATGCATTTAAGGCCTTGTTTGAAAGGCGCTTCCTATTAATCCACGCCAACAGTTTTTCATGTATTCTTTATAATAAGCTTTTGCAGTTGGATTTTACATGTTCTTCTGCTGCAAAAATAAGCCACTGAATAGACGATGTATTGTCTTCCTCAACCAAAATCACTCCATTTACAAAGACAGTGATTTTTATTATACGCGAACGTCAAGTGACATTTCCATGGCAATCATGGAATGACAAATAATCAGCCTACAAATGTATTCGAGTATAACGCCAATATGATTTCATTTTATTTCCTTTATTTTTAAATTATAAATGGAGTTATAATAAACAAGCATTGAGATGCCACAACCTTAGCAACGTCCTATGAATATGATTGTCGATAGGAAGCACCCTATACATCATGTTAGTTACACAAGCTGCCAACCGAAATCTGGTGGGGTTACAGAAAAGGGAAAGTGAGCGAAGATGAAACGGATGGAATTTCTCGGAAGACCACATGTGTTTACCATTTCAAACACGTGCAGTCCAGTTTTTTCCTAGAAATGCGTGAAATGCAGGGAATGGGCGATTTTCGGGTGGTTTTTAGGGGTGTTAAGAGATCAAGTTACCGCGTCGCTTGGGGTAGAGAATAAATTTTAACATGTGTGTTCATGGTCTTTTTCTTGTAACTGGCTTAAGTGTAAAGTACGGCTTATTTTGAAATATTTTGTTATACCTTAATCATTACTGTGTGCTTTTGCTTTTTATATCAGGTGAGGTACCTATTTGCTTTATTCAATTAATCTATAAATGTGTGTAACTTGAATGCAGATTGTAACCCTTTACTTATGTACTTACTGGATTCAATCACTTGTACCTCTAATGTGTAACCTTTGTTGGTATTGGCAATCATGTTTCATTGTCGGTAGGGCTGTATCTGTGCTGTACATATATTTTGGGCATTGTGCTTTTTAGTCACTCTCGATTATTTCATTGCATTTCATTATATTTGCTTATTTGGGGCTGTGAGTAAGCAAGAGGGAAGTGTGCTTGTTTAGAGGGGATCGAGTTATTCAAGTTTATACGGGCCTTGGTGAACCTAACACTTTCACTCGTTCCGAAACCCAACAACTTTAGCCCACGTCTACAGGCACCCCACTGGGCCTGGGTAATCCTACCGCCTGGTGAGCCATATTTAATATCTTAGTTTTGTCTGATGTATGTGTTGTAATACCTGGGAATGACTCGATTCCATTTTGGTTACTCATTATAGCGTGTATGTAGTATTAACCCAGTTTCTAGAGGGCTCAAAAGTGCTGTACATTAGATGTTAGCTGTAGGCTTTGTTCATTATAGGACTACTCCGAATTAGGTTTTCCTGCAGTTTTCCTAATTCGTAAGGTAAATGCCGGAGTAGTATAGAACCACCTAAGACCTTCTGTAGGGGCGCCGTATTGGTGTTAGCTTCAATATAATCCTAATCAGCTATTGCTTTTGGTGTTCCTTACCCATAAAACGCCCTCAGTGCCTGCTGACAACCCGGTTATTACACAACGTAGGGGTCCTACATGACGATCACGATCTTAGTGCACTCGGAGTGGCCCCCGAGGGACAGATTCTCGCGGGAAATGTAAGCGAGAATATTCAAATAGGCAACCATGTTAGTTTGGCGTTTCCGCTACTACAGAGTATGGGCAAATATTCCGGAGTGACTTGAAGTTGGCGTTCGAGTGCCAAGATAGTAGGAGGCTAAGATCATTACAACACCCTATATATTTCAATCTAAAAAGATAAAAGGATATTAAATTTTCTTTTCTACAGCGTAACACACCAGGGACGATATTAAAAAAACATTCAAATGATTAAAAAAACTAAACAAAGATTCAAAAAAGGTTAAAATGATTAAAAAAGATTTTACCACTTGAATTTTTCAGTGTTACATTAAAAAAAAAAGAATTTAATAAAATTAAAATGGTGTTCCATTAAAGAAATTTTTCCAGCTTACTTATTTGAAATGGTCGGATTATTTAACAACCTAATAAGCATTTATCTGTATCTCTTTTAACTAAGGAAATATAGTGTCATTCTGAAATTTGCATTTTTTTATTTTTCCCCGTATCTCTTGAGCGTGCGAATATTTTCTTGATTTTACAATTTTCAGTTTGACCCAAAAAGAGCACATGACACCTATATATGTAGCACCTTTTTTGACAATACCCTATAAAAGTGTGGAATAAATGACAGGTGGCTGACCTAACTTCGCCCACAGTTCAACGCGCATTGCCCGACAGCTGGGACCTTCTTCCACCAATAAAATTATTTTATCTCGTCCAATCAGGTGCATTGACTCACGTGGAATGAAATGCCGCTGAATCAGCAATGCATACGCTATTTGGCAAGCTTGATAACGACGAATGTCAAGGTTTGAATTAAATAAAATTCGTTAACGGGCTCCCGTTACACATTTTCATTTGTGTTGTTCTTCGACTTGTCTTTGACGTGTCTCGAAGTTGTTGAATTTGCCGTTTTCACGGCTCCACGGCCACTTTGGTTTCTTAGGTTTCTACCAAAGTTATCGTATTTTTTCGTTTCATAACCACATAACGTAGTGTGACGTGATGTAACATATTTCGTAACTAACTTAACATTGTGACGTAATTTTCGTTTCAGATGCTGGCCGCGATATGCGCGCATTCGGTGTCTATATCGATCGGAATGTGCCAAGGGTACAGCGCCATACTCCTACCCCAATTGGCGCGCGATTTCCAAATAACATCAGAAGAAAGTTCCTGGATAGGTGAGATTAAAATCTCCTTGCCATAATTCACAACCTATCCGTTTACAGCAAGCTTAGGCGCCGTCACAAATCCAATAGGATCGATCCTCTCCGGTCTACTGGCCGAGTACCTTGGTCACAAACCGTCGATCCTACTCAGCAGCCTGCCCTCCGTCATCGGATGGATCTGTATCGCCACCGCGACGAATATCAACCTTATGTACGCGGGCCGCCTCGTCACGGGCATCGCGGCGGGAATGTCGGTCGCGTCCTACACGTACGTCGCCGAAATATCGGCGCCGTCCGATCGCGGACTCTTCCAATCTCTCGGCCCCATCTGCGCGTCGTTCGGCATTCTGATAACCTACGTTCTGGGCGCGTACGTCCGATGGAACGTCGTCGCCCTGGTCAGCGTCGCCTTCTCGATCTTCACAGTAATCGGCATGCAGCTCGTTCCAGAAAGTCCGGACTATCTCCTCAAGAAGGGCAAGAAGGACAAGGCGGCGAAGAGCTTGCTTTGGTTCCGACGCAGCAATACGGAAGTCGTCAGGTTCAACTCGGACAGTGAGAAGGCGACAAGGAAGCTCTATTTAACCTCGACGGTTATGAAGCCGTTCTTCATCTTGGTAACCCTATTCCTATTACAAGCACTTTCGGGTATTTATACCATTTTATACTACGCAGTCAACTTCTTCGAGGAAGCCAACCTGAACATCGACGAGCACATGTCGTCAATCATCGTGGGACTGATCAGGTTCACGATGTCGGTCGCAGCAGCGTTTTTAATCAACCGCTTCGGCCGCAGAACCCTCTGCATCGTCTCCAGTGGCGGCATGACGGTCACGATGCTAGCGGCGGGTGGCTACTTTAAGTACTACGAAGTGTTCATCGACGAGGAGAAGCGTTTTCGAGCGCTTCCGCTTGTGGGCGTACTGTGCAACGTCTTTTTTAGCATGATCGGAATGCTGCCCATTCCTTGGATTTTAGCCGGCGAACTTTTTCCGCTTCGCGTCAGTTCTATAATGGGCGGCGTCGTCATATGCCTCGCGCAGACCTTCACGTTCGTATGCGTGAAAATCTACTACGATATGATCGCGCTTTTACATTTCAGCGGTACCCTGATGCTGTTTTGTTTCGTTTCGCTTCTCGCTTTACTGTTTTGCACGTTTGTTTTACCCGAAACCAAAGATAAATCGCTGGACGATATTGAGACGATTTTTAAAAAGAAGACTGAGATCAATCCCGAGGTCTACACGGTGACGTTAACCTAATGATTTGAAACACACGGTGGCCTACGTTGTGAAAGGCTTCTTGCACCTGTTGCTTTTTGTAAGGGATGTCAGTACTTAATAAATAAGACTAATGAAAGAATTAAAGAAGCTAGAAACATATGCCTATGATTTAATTAAGCTTGTTAGGTTCTTAGGGATCCCCAATCCGGCACTGTAGTTTTGACTTATCCTATACTTACATTCAATATGTATTGAGATACCCCTTCAAATACCCTGTATATTTCATCGTCGGATGCAACCAGTCAAGTAGTTGAAGATTCTGGGGACATGAGCCACCGCCATCACCATCTTGTAATGTTCCTAGGGCTCTATCAAGCCGACACTGTAAACGTTGACTTACCCTATACTTACCGTTGGCCACTCTGGGAAAAACATAGATATATAAATACATAGATACAGCCATACCCCAACATAGTTCAAAAGGACGTACCATCTATTACCATCACTTTCGGCACATTAATTACGTATAGCGCTATCCTTTATAGAGGTACCCTGAGCATGGAAGCCAAGATTCGCATTATTTATTATAACTGTCAATCAAATTGTTAGCACAAATCACACAGAAAATTATCAGATTTGAGACTTTACAACATAAATAAACCGCCTTTTTATTTATTTAAATCGTTTAGCAGCAAGAAATGTTACATTTAAAATGGATGTTACTTAGAAAACCGGCACATGAAGAATTTGAAAAAATTACAGCTGGAAGAACTGGAAGAAAGTGTGTGAACATGTGGAAAGTGATTAATTTAAAAGAGAAGTTATATTGGTTGATGTTTCTGAACTTTATAATAAGTGTTAATAATGACAGTGATGATTCGGATTTGTCAATTTCATCTGAAGATGATTCGGATTGTGAACTTTTACAAACGTAATGAATGTTCACTAAATGAGTATTATCACCAATTGGATATCATGTATTTATTTTAAATAAATGTACACGTGTAGCTTACTACAATTAGCACTATAATATCAAAAAGAAACTCCACCGATTGGACATATGCCGAAAGGTAGGCAAGACGCGTAGCGACCAAAATTTGATATTGCACGCACACACAGTCTATAAATCTCGTTTTTCTAAGAATATTGCACGGATCCTTCTTTGTGATCATGATACAAACGCACTGCATCAACATCATATAGGCCAAAATGATAATTAGAAACGAATTCACTTCCTGTCGTAACTTAATCTCCGTTACCATTACGCCTAAAACCATGCAATTAACATTAAAATGTTGAACATACATTTTATTTACTTACGGTTTTTTTGATATTCTGCAAGCCCGCAATGAATTCACTGCAGCACATCATGCCAAACAAGGTAAACATAGTCCCAAATTTAAATGGCGTAGCTCTATGTAATAAAACTATTTCAGGAATAACAATATGGACGCGTCTATCATTATGGCAAGCACTAATGTTATTCGTATTCAATTGATAACGCAATAATTACATAATATTTTGTGAAAAAACCGCCCATCATGTTTAGGGCGAATATTTTTAGTTAGATTTGATTTCGCGCGATCGTGAAATGTGTCAACTGTCACATGACTTATGGGACGCGCCAAGTTTGTTTTAAGCGTCCGATTCGCGTACGACATAGTGGTTAATGCAATAAAAAGAGATAGAACATGTTTCTTCTTGGTTAGAAAGTAATGGAGAGATGTACAAATTTCTTTGATATGTTTTTTAAAAACCGAGGTACGTTTGTTAAGGATGGCTGTATCTAGGTATTTATATATCTATGGTACACTGGGATGGGTGGCGACATCTAGGGAGCGATTTTAACTGGCGCCGCATTCTGTCTTACATAATGGCGGCGAGTCATCCTACCATCTTTAATATATCTTGCTTGTAATTATAGACGGCTGTGCTTTGACACACTTGTTGTGTACCAAATATGGTTCTAATCGGTTCAGCCTTTTTTTAGCCTGGTGCTTCCTCTGAATTTCCCTCAAAAAAGTGGGAGTCATTTTTTATCCCAATGTAAGTAATATGTCTCTTACAAAGTGCAGGTGACACAAATTAACAGGATGCTTTATTAAAAATAAAGTAGGTGCAATTTCCAGGTTAAACCACAAGTAATAAAAATTGACTATGCTGTCACCTCGGCTGTGACTGATAATGATAACTATATAGTATATCCTGAGAAATTAAGCAGAGCACTTTAAAAAATCCTTCTAGTCATACGGGACATAACAGAAAACTAATACGTGATTATTGTGTTACGAATCTTTATGATTGAGAACTGTTAGTAATGAAGCTGAATTTACCGAATGGTACCACAAAATACCTGCAACTGTCTTTTCTAACTGGTCCTTTATCGCTTCAATATCTACTTTCATTCGTTCTTGTTGTTCAGTCTTTTTTTTTGCACGCTTCGATCCAAAACTTTTGTTTATTTGTGAATGAGTACTCTGCAATCTCTCAATCGATTTGTTCAATTCACGACTTTCATCGAACCTTGGTGATAATGTGGCAAAATCGGCGGCAATTAAACGTATCTAAATGGACATTTATTCAGACTAGTAACAGTCAAAGAAGTGACCGCTCACCTTAGTCTTCTTCTTATTGCATATACCAATAAATGTGTTATACAAGTGGTTGGATTCCACATTGCCGCTGTACAACATATTGCTAGTTGCTGCACCTATTTTTAATTGATTCTCTTTGGTTTTATAGTATCTGCACAGTAAATTATCTTCTTGACCTGGATTAAGTGCTCCATTTTCAAAGTTCACTATGAAACAGATAAGAAATTTTTGGGAGAAAAATTATAAGTAAAGTACCTATAACGGGTTTTACATCAGAATCCTCTATGCAGTCAATGCTTGTAATTTCACACGTCATATTTTCAAATTTGTATTCTTGAGGGCACAAACCACGCTTTTTGTACAAATAAACAAACACTCAACACAAATCCCAACTGACCTTTCATGCGACCGCGGCGGGAGTGCTGTGGCCGTGACTACCGTACCGTCTCATAGTAACTCGAAAGCCGCGTATCCACGCACGTGTTTGACCTTTGATTGCCATTCAAAGTCCGTCTCACATTGACTTTACAGTACAGGGAACATAGGCCAATGCAAACCTTATGGAAGTTTTTGGCACGGCGATGCTGTTACATTAGAGAGTTGCGCACTCTTACGCTAACTCTAAATTGACGTCATCAAATACGATAACTTGTTTGACCTGTTAAAGGGAAGTTATTGCCGTCGCAAACTCTCTACAACGGTTAATGATAAAGTAAGATAAACATAACCTCGAAAGTAGTTTGATATAACTCCATTATTTAAATTTCTTTAAATGTACCATACCGTTTCACTGAAAGAATGATTGATAATTATAGCATTATGAGATGATTTTGAGAGATTGGATGAATTATTAGTAGTAAATATAGAAAACATAAACATGGATGGAATAAGGGCAGAACGCTATCTAAGATTTAATCTCGATGAGTTAACTGACGAAGAAATCCGTCATTATTTTCGGTTTTATTTGCCATTATCTTCCAATTATTCGTTTCTTCAGATCCTTCAAATTTTTCAGATCCACCAGATTCTTTGAATTCATTTCTTGTTTGAAATCCCTAGTTTATCAGATCCGTTAAATTTTTCGGTCTCATTTAATCTTAAAAATCGTTGGATTTTTCCGTTTGTTCTAGTCTTCTGATTTTTTGAGACCCTACGACCTAATTCAATTTAAAGATTTTTCAAATCTTCCAGATCCCATTACATTCTTCAACATTACTTGGATTCTTCCATTGTTTCGAACTTTCCATATTCTTTAACTTTAGATCGTAGGTTCTGGAAATCTGGAGTTGTTTCGAATTCTCAATTTCTTTAGATTTTACGAGCTGCGGTTTTTTTGTATGCTTTTTTGCGGATTTTTAGATTTCTTTAATTTTTTCCACTCCTCTGAATCAAACAGATTCATCAGACTCTTAAGGCTATTTGGATTCATCAGTTTCTTCCAATGATGTTCTACAGACTGTTCATATACTGTGGCTTTAACAACATTTTTAGATTTGTTGCATTCTTCGGATTTTCTACAGATTCGTTAATTTTTCCATACGTACTAACTAGATTCTTTATACATTTGAAAACTTCCCACCACGGATTTATCGAAAAACACTGTTTAAAGGAAAAAAAACGCTGAGACACGTCAAAAGATTTGTCAAGGGGGACAACTTTTTAACCAAAAACTACTTCATCCCCTTTCACCCTTAGTCCCTCAGGGTTATTCCCTAAAAAGTTTTAAATGACAAGTTGTATCGAGTAATAACTTGTTTCAAAGGTCTTTCGAAGTCATTTATTTTGACGTTTGATTTTTTTTAATCCGTCTGAATCAATAAATAAATTTTCACTATCCCAAGATTGTCACAAAGGTAACTGATAACAAATTAAATTCTTTCTTTCCCATATCAAGAAATAAGTGATATTTTCGTTTGTTTTTGTTTTCTATCTGAACAAATTAAGATAGGTTGATTAAATAAATTAAATAAAGAGTTTTCTAATTTTCTCGAAAACGAATCGACCGATTTAAAAAAATCAAACACCAAAATATGGACTTCGGAAGACGTTTCAAACAAGCTATTACTCGATACCACGTGCCATTTAAAATTTTTTAAGCGAATGACCCTGAGGGCCAGAGGATAAAAGCGGGTGAAGTACTTTTTGGGTAAAACGTTTTGTCGTGTCTAGGCGTTTTTTCTTTAATCGGTGATTTTCAACAAATCCGTGGTGGGAAGTTTTCAAATGAACACCCTGTATAAACAAAAAACTTCATATCTTAAAATGTTCTCAAATTATTATTGCCTACATCTACAATAAAGTAGGCGTATCGCATTATCTACGTTTAATCCTGGAGAAGTATTTGAAGTTAAAAAAGAATGATATATGCTGCTCTATTCAAAATAAGCAAGTTCGCATCAACTTTCGGTAAAACTGAAAATTCTATTAACTTGAAAATATTTTAGATAAACTCTTCGTGTCGACATTAATATACTCTCAGACTATTTTTGAAATATTCCCAAGTTCCTTTTCGAGATGTCTATAGCCAGCATTCGTCGTGGGACACCCTGAATTTGTACCGGGTTAAATATTACGCTGTTTGATTGAACGTAACTTCATTGAACTGAGAGAATTTGATCGTTAGTTTTTGAATTTTAAAGAACCGGGTGTAAATCCGGCTTAATTCATTAAATTAATACAATTATTGAACGCAACCTATACCTATACTTCTTTCGGTTAGTTTTTTCGGAGTTTTTCACAGATGATGTAAGGTAAGTGCAGGAAATCACCCCTAACTTTTTCTTCATACAGTGAAACAGAAAAAAAGTAATCAACACGTAAAGGAAATCAATAATGGCACAGTGGAGAGAATTCTGTGGTTCTGCATCCGGCAATTTACGTTCCATTCTGTAATTAACTTTAGTAGTTTAGTCAATACACTATGTACAGAAGCAAAGAAAAAACATGAAGGAATTTATTTAAAAAAAGGATGGATAGGCACAATAGTTAAAGAAACCCAGTAAAAGTCCTGAGTGTAGACAATTTTCAAAAATGATTCAGCTAGGGAATTTAAAATGTTACTAAAAACTGGTCAAAAAGTTCGTTTGGAATTGCACATCTCACTACTTTTAAGTTTTAATATTTAAAACCAAAACTTGAGAAAGACATTTTGTGATGGGTATGTAGGATATCTAAAAAAGTAAAAACTTACTCTTTCTAGGAATATTTTTAGATGAAACGAATGACAATTCGGTCGATATCCAAATAATTGCAATGGAGGTACGTCGGAAATACAGTGAAGGTTTGAAAGACCTGTTTTCGAAGTACATTAAGCAAAAAATCAAAAAGATGGTGAGTAGACTGTTTTTCTTTAGAGATCTAATATTGTCAATTTAGGAAATGGACAACATATGCCAGTCGAGTCCATCCGAAAAAGTTCCCATGCCATCACTACATACTCCCCCAATAGATGGTTACACTGCATTCAATGATAAAACGGTAGCTATTTGTGATTTTGGATGTTAAAAAATGTGACCAGGTTTTGTTGCAGGTTGCTAATTTAAAAAATTCGATCAAGGAACAAATTTTTGTACTCAAAATTCACAATCAAAATAAAAATTGTTCTACTGCTCAAATCATGGATCAGTTGTAAGAATAAATAAGGGTTAATAATAATGCGATGCTGTTTATTTACAACTGTTTACAAATTCAGTTATGGAGATGTTCTATATGACGATATATGAATTCTAAACATTGTAGCCTCGGCATGATTTTCTGCAATGAAAAATTCGGACTTGCACATCGATATTTATTCACACTTACCTTAAATAATGGAATAATATTATTTACAGTTTTGGTATCATCACTGACTAGAACGGCTAATATATAAAGAACTCTTTGCTAAAATTTAGAAAGAATGAAGAAGACGTTTAGCATTGTAATCTTACCTTTGATAATACTTCATTTATGAAAACTGATTTTACGTTATCCCAAGAAACAAACCGTACACTTCTTCCATAATTATAATGTTCTTCAAATTGATACCCTAAGTTCTCCACTATTATAACTTTCTCTAAAAAATTGAGGTCGTGTTATGTCAACATTTAAATAATACACTTACCTACCAAAATGAACCGATGTTAGTAAGATGTAACCGTAAAATATTAAAAGACATAATATATTTATAAAAACTGTAAGATTGATAAATTGGAAAACCATTAAAATGTGAATAAATAGGGCAGATGCACTTAAAGTTACTAATTGTCTGTGTATGAAATTCGTCGAAGCATATTTGACGGTTATTTCAGTAATTTTATCATGCTGTGTAATGTGAAGGATAATTTCTCTTCCTTGAATATTTTTACTACGAGAAACGTAAGTGCATTTTGGACTAATAGGCATATTATAAACATATAAAATACATAGTTGATTTGGAGGTTAACTTTTTAAGCGTGATGTGACCACAGAGTAGTAGTCACAGACCATCAACGGCTAGTAGTGACAGTTAGGCGTTGGTTGCATTCAATTCGGCTGATAGTCTGTGCCATAGCATTGAAATAGCGTTTTCGATTGGCAAAACTCGTGCTGCACGAGTGCAATTTTTACGTTCTATTGGTAATTTTAGGGCAATTTTCTGTGTTCCATTGGCAAATGTGATGCAACAATTACGCACTCAGTGCAAATTTCGACGCACGAGATCCGAGAGCTCGTGGAGCTGCTAGTTTCAAATTTTCAAAACAAACGTGCGACAATTTGAATTTGTTTCTTGCGTTGGGAGAGTTTTTGTCGTCATCTAGCAATAGCGAAGATGATGAACTAGCCATAACTTCTATTTTACAAAAAGTTGCACTTACTCATTAAACTGAACGCCAAAAATTGGTCCTTTACAGGAATTTCAAATTTATATTCCTCATCGTTTATCATAAATAATACTGAAATCGTTTGTCATTTTTTAGAATAGAGATTTGTCGATTACCTAAATCTAAAATGAGGTTATGGACAAATGACAACAAATATTTACGTATATTTATGTTCCATTGAGAGCAATTTTCGCATGGATTTCTTCAGTTTCTCGTGCAACACTCGTGCAGTACGAGTTTTGCCAATCGAAAACGCTATAAATGTGTATATTGTGTATAATCAATGGCCATGGAATACACATGTCCAAAAATGGAAACTTCCTTATTATTAGATTTTGTATGACCAAAAGCTGTTTTTTTAAATTTAATGCCATTTTTTTAGCTCTAAAATTGTTATCTAATTCATTGCAACCGAGTTGAATATTCATTTGACACTGTTTTTCTTTCATTTTTTAATTCACGATGTTTTCCATCCACATCCCCTTATTTTTGTATTGGATCGAATAACAAAAATAAATGAATTTTGAAAAAGCGGCGTGTAGTAAAAATTAGGCGATTCGACAAAAAATGAAACTCGTTTGTGTGTTACATTACATAAAACTATGCTACATAACGTCTTTATTAAAACTTATTTTTTTTATTCAGGATAATTTGGTATAGGGACCAAATAACATGGCTAAATGTGGAAAATCCCTGAATATACAGTTAAAGAACATACAATTAAAAAATTCATGTTGGTTACAATGGGAACCAAATTATATTATATAAAAAATGTTGGAGATAAAAAATATGGCATTAAATCAACGAAACAATTTTTGTTTACACTTTTTTAATTAGATAAATATCTAAACAGATATAAATAAGTTTCAATACTTTTGCTTAACCTCGCATAATCGAGTGAATTGGTTTCACAGTTATAACTGTGAATGTAAGTCGGATAATCAAAGGAGATTAGATAACTTCTAACGCATCATCATTGTCCGATCCGGTCCATAGAATGTAATTCTTGCTCCTTGCCAGCTGGAAGAGAATAATTTTCAACAAGATCAAAAACCATAGAGAATTGGGCAGACTAAACTACTACAAGCGTAAACTTAGTACAACAAGAGATAGAATATTTTGGAGGAGATATTGGTCGGAACATCAAGTAAGAATTACAGGTATTCCGATGCTTGTACATGCCAATCAATCTCTCATTGTTTTGGTTGAAACCACTTGATCAACAAGTTAACAGTTCGTTGAGAGAACCTTTCATTTCCCACCATTTTCACTCACACGCACACCAGCATGTGCTGATGTGAAACAGCCTTAAATCAGCTAGTAAGTAAAATTAAAAAAATTAACTGTGTGCAAAGGAAAATACGTTATAGTATATAAATATTCTTATAAAAAATAAGAAACTTAACGTTGCGCACTCCGCGCATGCACACACCTGATGTTTAAAATATGCGATTTCCCATTACTACAAGAACTGTGGTTAACATTTCAAAGAAATATCTCCATAAATAAGAAAGTTGTGACATTGCGCTGTTTGCGCATGTGCACGTCTGATTTTTACAATATGCGATATGCTTGTCTTTAATTTTTGTTTTCCAAATTTGAGTGTAGCAAAAAAACCCAAAAAGCATGTTGGAGTTTATAAGAAACCCGAATATAATTATCGACTTTATCACCGGCGATAACTAATGAAAGCCAGCGTGACGGTATTTATTATTTATCATCCACAATAAAATTTATAACACGAACTATTTATCACTAATATTTTACTTCGGCCACACCTGTTATAAATCACTGGACGCAATTCGATTTGCATATATAGCAAACGCCCCTCTTTCTCGAAAGTTCTCTAACGCTTCCAAACCTTCCCGGGTGTTCTAGAATGTTCTCGAACAAACACCTCATATTTCCCGGAAAAAATGTCTTATTTATGTAGATCTAAATCTGTTACGTGCATAACATGAAATAAATGTTATCCAAAGTGGCATTTTCACATGATGGCAATCGTGAGGAGGTGGGCAGATATACTCTGGCACCTAGGGCTCGCATGCTTCAAAATTAGGCGCTGAATCAAGAGATTGTTTGTTGATAATGGTTGCCAATCCATTAGGCCCGGTTGTACAACGTTAAACTTCAGTTTATTCTAACTGACAGATTTAAGAAACGCGATTGGTTAACTTGTGAAATACCAATGAAATCCTTTAACCCACAATACCTACAGTCAAATCGGTGCATTTATGCAGAGCGTTCGACGTTTGGTGCACGAGCACGGCGACAGAAAAGTGGACAGGTTTGCTCCAGAATCTCGTCGACATCTGAGGGCGATAGAGCAGCCTGGGCAACTGCTTTAGTTACAAATGTGACTTGCGAGACCCCGCGTACGTCTAAAAATTTTGGCGCTGGAGTGTACGATAGGATGCCATATCAACACGCAAGGAGGACCTATTTTCCTCCCTGCGGAAGAACGTTCTCCATAGGCTCGATCTGGAACCAGGTTCTTGCCTCTGGAGGCTCTTTAAGCTGGTGATGACCGTGTCATCCAGGAGCCCGTATAGCAGAGCCATCACCTTGGTTAGACGAGGAACAGGCGGACAGACGGACGGACAAAACCATCACATAAGGACTTCTTTCGCAAAAATCCTTGAAAGCTCAAAACCTCAAAGCTCCTATTTTCCTGTAATCACCGTGCGCCTCCAATATTTTACACTACTCACCCCAAGCCAGCGGGTGACGTGTTGAAAGTCAATGGCACTATGACTTTCATAGGCCTAGTTCTAAAAATAGATCATTGGGTTTTTCTGAAGACATTCATATAAGTAGGCCCCCCTGAAAATATAAGCCCAGGGCCCCATGAGGCCTAGGTCCGCCCATGAATATAACGATAAAAAGATTTAGTCTGAAAAATTTTTTTCGACATTTGAAATTGCAAAAAAATAAAGCAGGTTTCATTTGAAAAAATCTATGTTTAAAGGTTTGAAGTTATTCAAATTGACCATTACTTATAGAACACCCTGTATAAGGGCGACCAAAATTTAAATGTTTCTCATGTAGCATATCAAATCTAGTATTGTTGATTTTGGAAGATTTTTGAAACTAAAGTCAACGAAGTAATAGGTACAGAGTAACAGAGCCCTATAAAATCCCGATAAAACCGGAAGTGAAACGATCATGACAATCTTTCCTTTCGATAGATCTAGAAAAACTATGTTGCATGCATTTTCAAATTCAAATTATTAATGGGAGTTTGAATAGGTACTTTTAGGTAACGATGATGTCGTTAAATGAGTAGGAACCTATTTCTTTAAGGAAGCTAGGGTAAATTGGAAACTATGGAGCATTGTAGTAGATACATTTAGTGACGAAGGAGGTGCACATCGTTAGAGATTATTTAAATATTTTCAGTCCAGGGTGCCAGATCGGTTTACGATTAGTTTATTTTCTATTGGTTTTAGTGAAATATTTCCTTCAAAGCGGATTATAGACATAAACGCGTTGTAATTTACCCTCGTTATGTTATCTTGTGCAAACCATTACTACAGTTTAAAATTGTATTCAGAGAAATTAGCACGCTCTTTTTCCACCTCGACATTTTTGTCTATCTACATACTATCTAGCCTCTAAGACGTAAGTCTGAGATAATTTATATTGTAGACGTAAGTATTGGTCACAAATGTGGCCGCATCCTGTAGGTATGACTTCACTACGATATTTGTTTTTGTTTGCACTGTGGATACCATGTCATAAATTGAAATCTTTTTGGAGTGGTTCAGTTTAAAATTACTGTGAACGGTGAATACGTGACCAATTTTCATGAAATACGAGTTTCAAATTTAGCGCCACATGCGCGTTGTCCTTGCTTTTGCCCTTGTAGACCCCTTTGAGCGTTGTTGTATATTCAAGATGGCGATTGTGTTGTGTCCATTTGCGAGAGCGCGTCAATACATTAGTTCTGATTAAATAAAACATCACGCACCACTTAAACATATAAAAAATAATAGATTTTTAAATAACATGTGATACGATAGTCATAGTAAACGTTTTTTAATACCAAATACATAATTCCACACTACGTTTTAAATTAGCCAAAATATTCACATATAAAGGTTGTGATCGCCAATAATTAACACCAAACACTACGGCGGTAAGATTTCACGTTTTTTTTATGTCATTTACGTACGTTTTTTGAAACTGTTCGACTTGAACATCACTGCACTTGTTTGTTGTGTTTTTAGGCTTGCACTGGACTAGAAGACGGAATGCGGGAACTGATATTTACATTATTTTGTATAAATAGTTCATAATCAGTCACCATGACAGATACGAGGAGGAGAGTCAAACTATACGCTTTAAATGCAGAAAGACAATGGGATGATAGGGGCACCGGCCATGTTTCGTCAGCATATGTGGATCGTTTGAAAGGTATATCGTTACTAGTTAGAGCAGAAAGCGACGGATCGTTACTGTTAGAGTCTAAGATACAACCAGACACTGCATATCAAAAACAGCAAGATACGTTAATCGTGTGGTCGGAAGGAGATAATTTCGACTTGGCGTTAAGTTTCCAAGAGAAAGCCGGTTGTGATGAAATATGGGAGAAGATTTGCACGGTGCAGGGCAAGGACCCATCGGTTGAGATTACGCAGGACATTGTGGAAGAGTCCGAGGATGAGCGGTTCGACGACATGTCCGATTCGGCTCCTCCGATTGAATTACCAAGCTGCGAACTAAGTAGATTAGAAGATATAAGTGAATTGTTTAGTAACTGTTTAAGTTCTCCAATGAGGAAAGAAAAGTTAGCCGTGGCAATCGAAAGTGAAAACTATATTCGTAAATTACTAAATTTGTTTCATATGTGCGAGGATTTAGAGAATACCGAGGGTTTGCATCATTTATATGACATATTCAAAAATATTTTTTTATTAAATAAAAACGCGCTATTCGAGGTTATGTTCGCGGATGACACACTTTTTGATGTGGTGGGCTGTTTGGAGTACGATCCGTCTTCACCTACGCCTAAGAGACATCGTGATTACTTACGGCAACAGGCAAAGTTTAAGGAAGCAATACCCATTAAAAATCCGGAGCTTTTGTCTAAAATCCATCAAACTTTCCGTGTTCAGTACATTCAAGATGTAGTTTTACCAACCCCTTCTCTTTTTGAAGATAACATGCTTTCGACGCTGAGTAGTTTTATATTTTTTAATAAAGTAGAAATTGTGTCTTTAGTGCAAGAAGATGAAAAATTTTTAACTGAACTGTTTTCGATGTTGACAAATGTTAATACTTCGGAAACAAAGCGAAGGGACTTAGTGCTGTTTTTAAAAGAATTTTGTAATTATTCTCAAAATTTACAGCCCCAAGCGAAAGAGACGTTTTATAAGACCCTGACAAATTTAGGTATTTTACAAGCATTAGAAGTTACTCTCGCAGCTGATGATCATAAAACAAAGACTGCTTCCATAGACATTCTAACGTACATTGTCGAGTATTCACCTTCGGTAGTTAGGGAGTACACTCTACAGCAAGCTAACAACACTGATGAGGTGAGTGTTGATATAAACGCAATTTTTGTACTGTACAATTCACTTTTAGGATCAAATCTTACTCAATGTTATAATAGAGCAAATGATTTGCGATTCCGATCCAGAGTTAGGTGGAGCCGTACAATTAATGGGAGTTTTGAGGATATTATTAGATCCTGAGAACATGCTATCATCCATTAATAAATCGGAAAAGATAGACTTTCTCAATTTCTTTTATAAACATAGTGTCCATATCCTCATAGGTAAGTTCTGATAATTACAGTTGTTCTTACTAACTTAAATAATCGTAATCTTTTGTTCTTTATCTTTCCATTCATTGACTTTTTATATTTTGTTTTGTACTGGGTGACCCAATAAGACTGTTCAGCGGCCATATCTCGGGAACTTAGGGGTAAAAAAAATTATTGGGTAAATCGGTTATCAAGAATCGCTGGAAAATATTTTCAAGTTCTAAAAATTACCACCAGAGGCCATAACTGCCATCTTTAATTTTAAAATTGCATTTTCTTTAAATTTCGCATAATAAACTAAACATTCTTTTTTCACATTTTTAAAGAGAACCAGTTTATCTAACATTTTCGTAGAAACAAAAACTCAGTTATTTCAAAAACAAAGATGGCGTTCAATTGTTTTTGCAATAAACTGCTTTAACTTCTTAACCTTTTGACCGATTTTACCAGATTTGGTATTGTTGAAAAGAGCATTCCTTGGGCATTGAGAATCAACCATAGTTCATTTAGTTGAATCCTTCTCCGCCAGGGGGCTAGTTTTGACACTGACCCAAAATCCTAAAAAAAGCAAATGGAATGATATGACTTTTTCTTTATGAAATAACATCTTATTTGATGTATTTTCGGTTTTTGTCGATGGCGCGAAAGATTGTTTGGCAAAGGACCCTACACTTTTAGGTAGGCCTTGGAAGATTAAACAAATGAAACAGGATGCATTATAAAATAATAACAGCCTTAATTCCTAATTATTCTGCTGTGTTTATATTCAGAAAGTGCAGTTTTTTGAATTTGTAATCTTTTCTAAAATGCCGATTTCTAACCAAGAAGCATTTAATATGCTGGCTGCGATGGTTCGTGATCGATTCGGATAACGCAAATAGAAGATGTGGGCAGCGATGTTCGCATTTTGAAAATACTCAAAATATATCGCCAGCATATTAAATGCTTCTTCGTTAGAAATCACATTTGATTTGAAACCTTTAGACCTAGACTACAGAGAAAAGTTATATTCAATTGCCTACACATCTAAGCATCATAGGAATAATTGACCCAGGCCCTAGGAAATAAAGTACAGTACAATGCTCATAATCCGACATACGGGGTGTTACGAAATTCGAGTCCACAGACAATAGGGGCTTAATTCTGAGACAAAACAAAGTAGAAATCCCTAGTACACTCTTGCGTTCAGACTTCAGACAAATATGAGGTCGCAAAAAAAATTAAAAAGAAATGAACCATTTGTAATTGTTGTTTGTCAAAATTTGTTAGCCGCCTACTTTGATAAGTGCAATTCAGTTAACTCGCCACAACGCTTGCCAGATTTGTCAACATGCGATTTTTTTATGGGGTCATCTTAATATTATAGTTTACCGAACACCAGTGGATACTTGTAGACGGCTTACAATATAGGATTTTTCAAGCAACCAAAAATGAATGAATGAATGAAATAATGGTATTCAGCATAAATGAATAGATAATAACAATAGTTCTTCATTTCTTTCTTATTCTTTTTGTCACCTCATCTCTTGAAAATGCAAAAGTGGATAGGGTTTTTTTTCAGCGTTGTCTCATAATATTGTCCATGGGCTCAAATTTCGTAACACCCTGTGTTTGGAACCACGGTGATTTTTATAAGCAAACTCAGCCCACTTCATTATATTCTAGTATAACGTCAATATGATTTCATTGTATTTCCCTTATTTTTAAATTAAATTGCAGTATAATAAAAAATACTATAAGAAACATGTATAATTGGTCTTTAAAGCACTTACAACGTTTAAAGGCACTCCGCTTCGCGACGTGCTCTTAAACTCGTTGCGCGTGCTTTAGACTTGATTATACACTTGTCTCTTAATATACTATTTTTGTTCTCTATTTCATTCTGTAAAAATCCAATATGGCGTCCATAAGAAGTAAAGAAAGTGGTATTCTGTAGCTTCTAGATCTGGCGTGTCATGGAAATTTTGATAGCAGATTCAGGTTTTCCGAATCAAAGGGTATGTAGAAGGTGCTAACGGGAACCGTCCATTTCTGACCGTTTAACCTAGGGAAAATAAAAACGAAATTTTATGTTTTCAGTTTTCCAATATTTTTCAAAAATTTCAAATGTGTTTGTGTCTTTATTCTTTAAAAGTTGCCTAAAATGATCTAAAACGTCGACATTTGATGAACTTTTAACATGCCCAAAAAAACAGTGATGGCAATAGTTACCTAGCTCGAGCTAATAATAATAATAATAATCAAAAATTGTCAGTTTTTGAACTATTGGTTTTTTAGAGTTTTAAGAATTTCTGTTACTTGGCCATGACTTGACATTTCTTTAATGCTCGGCTGTTGTTTTTTTCGCCGCCACAAGTCATGGTCAACTAACAAAAATTACAATACAACCCAAGAAATATTAAATAGCAAATATTTCGAAAATTGAAAAAAAAATTTTTGTTCTTCCTAAGACACAGTTACCTATTTTACGTAGAATCAAAAGATGAAATAATACATAGGATGTTTTCCAATGTCTCCTTTTCAAAATATAGCTAACTGGGATTCATCCTGGGCCAACCTTTAGATGGATAGAACTAATAATTTTATCTGCATTTTTGGATATCCTCTCCAATGTTATAAAGGGTTTTCGAAAATTCCTGCTGCCTCTGAGAGGGAAAATATTCTAACCATGACAAAATATGATTTATGGAGATCCTTGAGCATGAAAATAAATCCAAACTTCACTTTTGAAAATTTAAGAAAAAAACAGCACCCAAACGACACCTTTGCTTTAGCCTTTGCTTATTAATGGTAGGGATGAATTCACCGGTATTTCGGTTGAAACCATTCCAAGCGTCACTTGCTGTCATCATGAAAAAATAGTAAAACAAACTATGGTGGGTTTGTACAATCATTATCATTAGGCCATTCAGAAATACTTAGCTACATACTTTTGATTCTATTGGCTATTTCTTATTAATCTAATGATAATGATTATATAAACCAACCATTGTAGGGGCTTAAGTTTAATTTAAGTGGTTATTATAATCTGTTGCATATTATATCAATTATTATATTATGGTTTTTTTTTTGTTAATCTTTAAACATATTTACAATTTCATTGAAAGTAGATTATCTCTGTACAGCTCCTTTACTGGAAGACTATTTCCGTGGGGATTGCCAAAGAGAAGATTATTCGACTGTCCAGCTCCTTGGATTAATCATTGAATTATTATCTTTTTGTGTCGAGCATCATACATACCACATAAAAAACTGTATACTAAACAAGGATTTACTGAGGAGGATATTAATTTTAATGAAGTCTACGCATAAATTTCTCGTGCTATGTGCATTGAGGTTTATGCGCAAATTGATTGCCTTGAAGGACGAATTTTATAATAGATATATTATTAAGGGGAATCTTTTTGCTCCGGTCATCGATGCTTTCGTAAAAAATAATGGAAGATACAATTTGCTTGATTCTGCCATAATAGAGATGTTCGAATTTATAAAACTGGAAGACATCAAAACATTATGCTCGCATGTCATCGAGAATTTTGGCAAGTCCTTTGACGAAATCTGTTACGTGCAAACTTTCAAAGCACTGAAGCAGAGGTACGATCAACATCAGGACAAATTAAAGGATCGTGACAGGAATACATTGGAAAGGTAATGAACTCTGCGCGCGTTTGTCTAGTAATACTGGTGTTTTACAGTGTGCCATCGATATTGAGAAACAGTCGCTATCGGCGCGATCAAAGGCAAATGGACGAAGAGGAAGAAATGTGGTTCAATGAGGATGATGATTATGATGATAACGAAGCAGTCATTCCAGCAGCAACAACGGATATACTTACGAAAAAACTTGATCCTGATTTAGATAGTATTGGTAAAATGATGGAGAAAAAGGTTGAGGCTAACGGTCCTAAATTAAACATCACCCCGGTCAAAACATCATTGCTTAATAATAATGCAGGCAATCAGCCACCAAGTCCAATGCCGCCCGAAATAAGATCTGCATTATTTAAAAGAGTAAGTATAGCTGTTATGTTATTCAAGTATTTTATGCTGTCTATTTTCGTTGTTTTATCTGTTGCAAAAAAATTAAAATATAGTTGGTAGTTGTTTGCTTTACTGCCAAAATTGGAACGGCTGTAATTTGGTAATTCCACACTTATTATAGGACATTTAACCCAAATTTGGAGTTACTAATAACTTTATTTTGTGGCATTGATAGCACTCTTCTACTGTGGTAGTGTTAGATCAAGGTAGCAATATTTTAATAAAATTAATTTTTTTGGTTACTTAAATGCAAAGTGAAATGAAAACGCGTTACTTAAGCGATAAAAAAAATGTGCTTTTGTGGGTTTATCTACATTTAATTTTATGGATTGGGATTACCTTTAGAAGTAGGTAGTCCTGAAATGTTCTACGATAGCCTGCATCTTGAAAGTGCGCCAAACAGACTTCCGATTTTCAGATCAAGAGGGGGAAGGGGTCCTCTTGAGATGCCGTAAAAAGGCAAAAACGTGTCCTCCGGGTACAATGTTATTGCTTGCTCAACCATGAACCATGCTGTACTGAGCAGTGTTGCCGGGACCGATTTTTATAGCGTACTGTATCTTTGACAGAAACTGTACTGAATCCCTACTTAAATGTACTGAGTGGCGGGAAATTTAAATGTATTATTAAAATTCTGTTATTTAATATAACAATGACAATATTATTAGAAATAGAAAAAATAGGTAACATTTTCTTTCATATAAAAATGAAAAATAATGATTCGTAATATATTTACAGAACGGAAACTGTTTACGTTCTCTGAATTGTGATATGGGTAAAATTGTAAATGATACCAATAGCAGGAGAAATGATATCATACATTTTCTTCGTGAACTTAATCTCTTTAATTTTGCAACTTCATCAAAATTTCGCGCCGTATATTTTTGTAATACGATCTCCATTCAAGTTCAAAGTTGCAGTTGTAGTTAGTTAAATCACCGCTAGATGGCGAAATAAATGTCGAAATGATACGAAAACGTTAATTTATATCGAATTTTATTAATTTGGTGTTCCACTTTCATTTCGTACTGAAAGTGAGGGTATTTCAAAAAAGTGGTACTGACGTACTGAAATGAGTAGATTGGTACTGAATTCAGTACAGAAACGGCAACACTGGTACTGAGCAACCCTAGACTGGACGTCTGAACAAAACTAAATACCACTCCTGAACTACGTTAGTGCGTGCGTGCGTCGTCAGCGGTGGGGGAGTCTAAAAATATTAAACTCCCACCCCACCAGGACTCCACTTCAGTGCCTGTACCTAGGGGGAAACAACTTTGAATTTTTGTATACACCAAAAATTGTACTTGTTTCCCCTTAGGCCTGTACATTTTTAAATTTGGCAATTTAAATAAAATTTTGCGTAGTAAAAAAAAAGCATTTATTTTTTAAAAATAGGCGCATGAAAAAGCACTTTAAAAATTCCTAAAGAAAGCATGAAAAAAGGTGAAGGATTAGTCATTTAAAAAAGAATGTATTGCGTAACAATATAATAATTAAATATTTTTCTACATTAATTTGTTGCAAAACTTTGCCTTCTGTTTAAATATTGAAAAACTATGTGTATACTAGTAACTCACAACATTAATTCTATTGTAACTTTTCTTAAAATCAGCATTCTTTTTAAAAAATTCAATCCTCATATTCATAAAATTAAATAATTAGTGATTGACATTAAATTTGACCATTTCATGTATGTATTCTTTTTGTTCTACAATTGAATCAATTTTTTAAAAAAGCTTTTAAGCACTAACATTGGATAATAAGCACTAAAATATAAAATGCAAGAAAAATCAAGATTTTCGGCAATATTGCATTTTACTTCCAACGCTCCTTTTTTTTTGAGTAAATTACACTTAAGTTTTTACATCGCCAGCAGATGTGCTTGTCCAGACGTTCCATTCGTACCATTCTTTGACACTTGATTTTTGAAATATTTGTTTCGACCTCCGCAATAGATATGTCTTGTCCAGACGACCTATTTTGCTTTTGTAGGTACTCTCCTCCAACACTCCGCTTTTGATGAGGAATTGATAAACTTTTAAAACTGGGGTGAAAATACAGGAGGTGCCATGCCAAGAAAACTGACAATTGAAAACTGTCAAAAGCTATAGCATGTAATGTACAGTCTCTTGTAAAAGTAATGTCCCTCGGATAGGTACCTACCACTGTAGCATAGGCAACCAACATCCCAGTCGCCTAGTCCAAGTTGGATTTGCGGGTGTGCGAGGTAGCTATCTATAGTAATGCGATTGATTTTCAGCAGATATTCCCATTTAGCCAAACTAAATACTAGTTAGTAGAATAAAAGTGAATGCCATCGATTTATTAGCTCAAAGGATCTGCGCTGCACATCCTTGGCTTGGTGCAGTAAACATTTTTACATTTCTTACAATTGGTTTGGTGCGTTTTAAATTTGCAAATAGCTAGAGACTATTAAGACAAAATAATGGCCTTTCACTTTTTAATTTTTTGAGTAGGTTTTCTTCTAACGAAATAAAGGTGATATTCTTGTCCTTTAATGACATTGAAATTCCAGTGTCATTAATAATTACTTGCGAGTAGGTCTCCTCATGGAATGCGATTAATTGCCCTACAAGTGCACTGTGCAACAATACCTTTCTTTTGTAACTAGCATCAGAAATTAAATGATATGCATTTGTGATACTTGGTCGTGGTTGATTTAATATCGAATTTAGTTTAGGAGAGCTTTTACGTTGCATATTTCTGAGTAGGTAGGCATTTATTTATAAGGATATTTAGTCCAGGTTATAGGTATAATATTTTTTGACAAAAAAATTAGTTACCAGTTAAACCGGCTTTTTCATGCAGGTGAAATGATTAGAAATTAGGGAAAAATAATTAAAACAGCCGAATTTTTCCGCGGGTGCCATCCCGGGGTTTGAAAGGAATGGGAGGTGGTAGTTACAAAAGGAACGGCATTGTTGCGCTTCCAGTGCAGATAATCGCATTCCATTAGGAGGCCCGAGTAATTAATAATGAGACTTCAATTTCAATGTCAGTATAAAACGACAAAATCATCACAATTATTTTGTTAGAAGAAAATCTACTCGAAAAAATTAAAAGTAAATGTCATTATTTTAGCTAAACTATTTCCAAATTTAAAACGAACCAAACCAATTGAAATGTAAAAATTTCTATTGTATTAAACCAAGGATAGGTTAAAGCAGCGCAGATCTTTTGAGCTAATAAATCGATGCCATTCATTTTCATTCTACTAACTTATTTTTAGTTTGGCAAAGTGGGAATACCTGCTGAAAACGAACCGCATTAGATACCTACCTACCTCCCACACCCGCAAATCCAACTTGGACTAGTCGGTTGGGATGTTGGTTGCCTATGCTACAGTGGTAGGTATCCGAGGGACATTACTTTTACAAGAGACTGTACAGAAATATCACGTAGAAAAGTGGTGTTTTTTGTTGTATTTTAACCAGTAGGGTGAAACAAAAACAATTTTGTGTACGACGCATATTTGTTCATAAATTTCAACGCTTGTGTAGTTTGAATTTCAAATAAAGTAACATTTTTATATTCATAGGGTTTGGTCGATTACGAGGGTGGTGACTCGGATGAAGACGAAGAGGAGGGGGGTGAAGTGAATAAACGGCCGCGACTCTCATAGCTTAAGGACAGGTAAGTTCGCGACTAACTCAAGTGTCATGCAAGTACGTGTGATCTCATAGTGTGGTGGGCAGTCAGAGTGAACAGTCAATTATCTTACACAGGTAATGCATTCTTTCTACGAACCTGTATCGAACAATAAGGTGACGTTATTTATACTAAATACTGAAGCTAAAATTATATTATAATTCTGAAGCTCTGAATTGACACCTTTATTTTGTGTAAGATTAAAGAATAAGGTATTACAATGTTGTAGACGTTTCCGTCGTGTAAAAGTAAGGAGAATATATTGTGAGATATGGATTAATTTTGTGAGATCTGTGTCTAAGTTATATTGTGTATTTTTGTTTTAGTCTGTAATCGGAGAGTATATGAAAATTGTTTTTTATTCGTCATATTTTTCCAAATTACAAGATTTAACGGGCTATTTCAGTCTCATCAATTTGGCTTACTAACGCCCTCTATAATCAGTGAAGTGTCTTTTTCGATAAATTTTTATATATTTTCCCGTGTAAAGAATGAGAATCTTACAAAATATATAACCTTACCATTATATTTTAATATAGTTGTTACGAATGATTTTGAGTTCAAGTTGGAAGAACTTGAGTAATGTGAATTTAAAAATAGTGTAAGTGAACATAGTAGTTTTGTAGTCGATAGGCTATATTATCGAGTAGATAAAAATATAAACAGTGAGTGTAGTGTTGATGGAAGTATTTAGTTTGTGAGAAACCGCTTTGTACTATTTTGTTTATTGTATCATTATTTGTGTGATAAATTCTATTAGTTTATTTTCATTTTCGAATGAATATTATTTTATTGGTGCTTACAAATCACAATAGGTGTACACTGAGTACACGGAAAAGTTTTATATTAACTGATTGTGAGTTCAATATTTAGATTCATACTCTCTATGTTTAAATTTTTGCATTTTGTGTATTGTAAATAGCAACACTTTTCATAACAATGTGTAAATTTTGAATAATTCATACAAATATTTATAAATTTTTCCTAATTTATTTATTTCTCCGATAATTACTATAAAAATGATCTACTTGTTACATAAATAATGTTATCACATTTCTGTAAGAATTTATTCTTCCGTTACTACAAAAATTTGGAAACGTCTTATGTTCCCGATGTAATCTAATCAAATGTTCATATCAGTGTTGAGTTAAGTAAGGAATATTAAACAAAATTGATGTCAGTCAAGTGTGAAATGTATGGTCAAATCTTGCCGGCTTATGTCCAAATACTGTGTCATATCTACAAATATTACGCATTAACTAAATCATAAATAAAATGTTTTTCAAAAAACCACGCATTTACATTCCGATTTTGATAGACAATTTTAACCTAGAATTTAATCGGTTAAGGTTTGACGATATAACTGACCTAAGATGTGCAACATTAGAAATTTTAAGTGTTCCAAGGGGCTGCCTGCATACATTATTTTGTATGATCTAAATTATGAACTCATTAAATAAACGTACCGAAGTGATCATTTCAAATCAAAGCAAATCATTCAAATTGTTACACGATTTTTTCTACACAACGGTCGAGCCCCCATCACTGATTGCCCCATACAGGTATTTAATGAAATCTAGTTAGTTTTGTACATTTATCTTCCGATACTGGCACAAATTATATATAATAATTTTTCATCAGCATCTCAAATTAAAATTCCTCAAATTATTTATTTTGTTTAATTGGGTTGTAAATAGCAATCTCTGACATTGGCATAAGTTTTTTCGTCATTTGATATCCTAATTTATTTTAATTCACACATGTATGTGTCAATGATAGACTTGTCTATTGTTTAAAGTATTTGTCCTTTATTTTAATAATAAATACATATTTATGAATCCAGGGATTTTATAACTAACCTTTCATTTTTGTAGGTAATAATAAATTAAATAATTACATTTAACGCCTTTGTTTCCTTTTCCTCACACAAAATTGATAATGAGACGATTCTATCAGTGATCACGGTTTAATTCCACTTCATAATCTGATAGCCCTTTTAGAAGTAATGAATATTTCTCTGTTACTATACAGGGTGATTCAAAATTGAGCGCAAAGGTTTAAAGGGCGTATTTACCAGCAAAAAATAAGAAATTTTGTTCATAATACACTTGCTTCGTTTTCTAGATACAGGGTGTAAAAGTTTTTTTAAAAAATCGGTTTTTATTTATTTTTCCCACCAAAGGAAGGCCCTTATGACGACAAATAAGCCTACCAAATTTTATTTAAATCGGTTGCAAGGTTTTTGAATAATTGATAAAAACAAGATTTTTTAGAAAACATTATACCTGTAACTAGAAAACGAAGCAAGTTAGGACATACGATTATATGAAAAAAAAATTTTTTTTGCTGGTAAATACGTCCTTAAAATCAACTAAACAATGTGCTTATATACTTACATGTTGGTCCTACGTGAGCGGCAACACGCGTGATGCAACCGCATGTTGTTAAGACTGGAGCGGCAGCCACGGAAATATCAAATATGCCGCGCGGTAGTTGCATAGGTAGTAGGTAGGACCTGCCACTAAACTGTCATGCTTTGATATAGCCGCGTGTTGCCGCTCACGTAGGACAGGTTCATACATATATATGATCTAAGCCTACATAAAGACATTGTATACGTGAAAATGTCAAATAATACAATTATTTCTTTAAGTGCCTTATGTTAAAGAATGGAAAACATTTCTCTCGCACAAATCTATGCTATGGGATCAAAAATGAGTTGTTGTCAAGTCGCCTTTGGAATTTTTGTTTACATGAGAAATCATACTTAACTTGGACTTCCAAAGGCGACTCGACAGCAACTCATTTTTGATCGCCTGTTATGAAAGAGGATATGTTAATGTATAATGCTTGCACTTTTCCTGACGAGTTCGATGGTTAAAGGAATGTGTGCTTTGCAGTTTCAATGGTACCATATATGCAATAGCAACGGTCTGGCGGGTCCGTCTCGGATAAATGTAACCGCACAGCAATTTCCTAAACGGGAACAGTAAATAAGCAGTTTCGAAGGGCAAAGCAACTGCAGAAAGGGAGACAATGGCCCGTATGAATAAAAATAAGCAAATGCTTATACTTGCAATATTCAAAGTAAATACTCGTAACTGCCCCTTCATGCTGGTCTGTTTAGCAGCACTGCACTGCGTCCTGTCCTGCTGCTCAGCAGCGCTGCTAAGTCGCCCAGTGGGAAGGAGCACTTACGAGTATTTACTTTGAATTTTGCAAGTATAAGCATTTGCTTACTTTTATTCATACCGGCCATTATCCCCCCTTATAATTAATGAAACGGAAAGTATAGCAAAAAGCTTACCTTTTAATCGGATCAGTGCTGCAAAGATTTGATAAAAACCAATAAGAATAAATACAGTGCGGTAACTTAATTGCAAAGCTTCCTTCCCAGACGTCTTAAAAATACGCGACCGATGTCAAAATTCAAGTTAATTAAGAGCGCTTCTTTTGAGATAAGGCCCAGCTCAATCGGACAGATTTCTGAAACTCTTTTAAATGTCAATCGTTAATTATGCGTTCTTAATTGAACGATTCTCTATCAAATGCAATAGTAAGAATAAAGTGGTCATTTCGTTAAAAAAAAATTGAGTTTTTATTAGTCTTTGAAATTTCTTAAATTTGGATCTCCATAGGTGCGGTCGTACGCAACTTAACTTTTTAGCGCATTTCCACAAAAATAAAAAAAAAATGCGCTATTGTGGCCACTTTGTCCGTCCGTCCGGCCGTCCGCTCGTTTTGCGACGCTACTAGTTCTTTATCTTAAGAGCTATTGTTCTACTTTTTTCGCTATTTGGTTCGTTATGGTGTCGAGGCTTGCACCAAGGAAGGAATTTTTTTTGCGTTTATTGCTAAAAAAGTTATTGCAAAAAAACCAACAAACCGTTTTTACATGTTCCATAATTTTACACTTTTGCCGTTTATTAACCATCCTAGAGATCATTTATAATTTTGTATTGTTGTCTGTCTGTTGGTCTGTCCGTCTGTTCCTTTGCCTGTCTGGCTCTCTATCTGTCCGTGTGAACGATAATTTTGTTTAGAAATGGCCGATCGCTTTTACATCTCCGTTAGTTATGAACTGAATTGCATGGAATTCAATATGGGCATAGCCTTAGTCATATAATACGCAATGCCAAAAGTTGAGTCGAATCGATTCAAAATTCACAATGCCCTTTTCGCATCTCGACCATTTATAAACCGAATTGCAAACTTTTTTTCTTATAAAAGTATTTGAATGACATTTGATACATAGGCACTTGGAATAAAGGAAAATCTAACGCCAGTTTCAAAATTTGGTTTTGCGCATGAGCAATGCCAACTTTTTTATTTATGGAAGAATTTAAACGAAATTTGATACATAGGCACTTGGAATAAAGGAAAATCAAATGCCAGTTTAAAAATTTTATTTTGCCCATGCGCAGTGCCAACTTTTTTTATCTATGGAAGCATTTAAGTGAAATTTGATACTTTGGCGCTTGGAACAAAGGACAATCTAACATTAGTTTCAAAATTTAGATTTGCGCATTCGCAGTTCCAACTTTCTTATTTAGAAAAGCATTGAAATGAAATTCTTCTTATAAACTGAAATTGAAATAGCATGTCAAAAATGGATTGCTCATGTGCAACGCTATCTTTCATATTTGTGGGCGGATTTTTACGATTTTAGCAGAAGTTGCATCTTACAAATGGGAAATACGCTTTATGTAAATCGTTTACGATTACTTTTTAACTTGTTTTAAATACACTAGAAGAAAGTCCTGTTCTTTCTCTATGCACCGGTAAACATGGTTTACCTTTTGAAGTAATCAATTTTCACGGTACCGTCTGCATCCGCCATTTTTTTCTATCAAAAGTCGCAAAATCCATAAATTGTAGATATCGACATGTATATAGGTATCAAAAGAACTGAAATTTCACGTTGAATCCAAAAATGCAATAAAAAAGGGGTTGCAAATGAGGGCTGTCTACTTTTTTTTTCATTTCAGTTTTACTCTTTATTTCTTCATAGCTCCTCCCGTTATCTGTTATGCTTCACCCTCAAGAAACCTCTCTTCCGCCGAGTGCGCAGATTGACCATTGGATACACGTTGGTGTATATGGTACATGCCGCGTTGGTTGAGCTCGGTCTTGCTATATGTGTTGTCTAAGCGCAGGGCTGTTTCAATACACAATCTATTTCAGTTTGCCATCCCTTTTTGAAATTAATGCGCGCGATCGTGATTTTTGTGTGAAAACTCCATAAAACCACTAGTGGAAGTGCAGCGGTATACTGAATCGAAATTTTCCATATCTCTTACATTGCATCGACCATAAACTGAATTCGCTTATTGTGCTTATATTAAAAATACCTAGGGGAAGGGGGAGTACAATGGTACAACTTGAAACCCTCATCAAAGGAAATTACCTGAAAACCTTACGAAAACATGCATTCGTCTCAGAAATTTGGCAAGGGTTCAAATGAAAGAACAAAACAAAGCTGAGAAGCGGAAGAAGGTATAATTCAAGAGATTTCCAGAGTAGCAATTAATTTTAAAGCCACACGTATACGGGATAACGATATATACTGAGAGAGAATTTCGGTTTCAATTTGCGGCTGTGCAAATGTAAGTGGGGGGGGGGGGGGGGCTTAAGGTAAAATACTGCTTTTTAAAATTGATAGTTCTAACTTCCAAGATGGCGACTGTGCATCATCTTGAATTTTTTTTACTAATTTTGAAGGTCTTTTTATCCGCAGTTACCTTCCTCAACGTGTATTGTTGTTAAATTAAAAATGTAAAACAATGTAAAAGGATTAGGTAGGTAGATACCATATATTTGGTAGATAAGTACCTAATTAAAGTTTGATACTTTCAACATGTCGATTTGGTTAAAGTAAATGAAAATCAGTACTTATTATATACTTAGGCACAGATTGTATTTAATCTGTGACTTATAGGTATTGTCATTGAATATTTAGCTATAGGTACCTACATTCTCACTGAATTTAGTTATAAATGCATTGGTACCTATTTATTTATGGTCACGACTATATACCTACTTAGGTAAATTAGTCATTAATTAATTCCTATGAAATGAATTTGATGCATTTTTAGCGCCCACGTCTTCAAAGGAATGCGTATAAGTCGTCATTTGGAAGTTTCGGAGGTAGATGTGTTTTATAGTATCGACATTCTTGTTGTTTCGAAGTATCTTGATATGAAAATTATGTAGGTAGGTACCTACAGTCTTAGTACCTAATTATGTTGACGTTCCCATATCAAAAGAGAATTATTTAATATTGCCCATGTTTTCTGTTAACAAAAGATATTATATTGCGTATTTATGATATGTTGCTATGGAAACAAGGTATGTATGCAAACAAAATCATAGATTTAGGTAGCCCTCATCAATAAGTAGGTACAGAACAAAGCGTTTAGTTTAGTTTTGCTCTATTAAGCGTTATAGGCATGGGCGAGAGTGAAAGTTCATGGGTTTTCGATTCGTTGGTGTGTTTTCTAAATGGCCCGGTTTGGAATGCTCCTATACAGAGTTTTATCGAGGAAAAGTCTCTGAGTAAGGATTAAAGTATTGTAATAAATTTGCCTCATTTTTGTATTAGTTTTTGAAGCAAACACCGCGGAAAGTCCTAATTATGTTAAAATATACGAGGAGTATAAAAATCTGGTATAAGTATTTGTACGATTCAATTACGTTACACTAATAAATACGTGTAGGTTGACGTCATGCTTGGCAGCTACATGGAGGATATAGGAATATCGCCGGGACAATTTGAAGAAGCATGTCTTAAAGGGCATTTGGAATTGGCACCTAAACACTTTGATAATGTATATATATTTTCTAGAAATGTAGGTTAAAACCAAACGTTTTAGAGTTTGTTTGAACAAATATGGGCAGCAAATGATTACGAAATGTTTAAACGTATGATGACTCATCGAAACGTTGAGTTACAATTGCAAGCCTTAGAATTAATAGAGCAAAAGTATGGTGTAATGCCAGAATCGTTCATTCCCCACAAAAGTCATTATCGTCACATAACGGGCCAAACGGAAGCCGAAATTGTGTTGAAAGACCAAGAAAAGGGAGATCTCGAGGAGGAAATCATGGAAGAAGTGATCAAGTAGGTACCTCCAGTGTTTTTATTTGTATTTAATTGTATCGCTTTATTCGCAGGCAGTTTCCGTTTGAAGAAGTTCCCGAGGAAGATCCTCAAAAAAAAGATGAAGAGGTTCAGTATTTATTGGAAGAGAAGCAAATTTTACAAGAGACTTTGAGAAATATTGGTAAGGCCCTCATTTCGTATGTTTTTTTATTGAGGTACATTAATCCTAGAGGAAACAGCAAAATCGCATGATATGGCAAAAGTAGCAGAAGATGCACCAGAGAACACACCCGTCGAAAATCCCTCTAAGGAAGAAATCGCTTTTTATAAAAGACCAATTGCTTCTGAAGTAAGTAACAAGACGTTATTCGAGTATGATTGAAAACTAATTAACGCGTACCTATGTTAGATTGATCAAGTTGAATTGAAGAAAAGGCAAGAGTACTTCAGAGCACAAAGGGATAAACTGGTGGCCTTAAAAAAGGAAGCGCGAAAGAAACATCTTGAAGTTGCCGATACCTCTCAAGAGAAATCGCGAAGTCGTCCAAAGTCAGCGCGAGTTGCGAAAGCTGTTTTAACTGGTGATTCGCCAATATCCAATGAACAACTGAAAATCAGAAAAGCTTTGGCGGAACGCTTGAAACAGGAAGTTATTGGGAGCACAGATTTGTAATGGAAATACCTACAATTATACTATCACATGTTAACTATCTAAAAGGTTTTACGTAAAATTTTGTTGACATTTTAAAGTTTACTGGTTGCTTGGTTGTCCTTTCATATAAACTGGTGTGCAATTGATTGATAAAGATCTAAATTGATGCAATTGATGTGCAATTTGATTTGTTTATTTTATTGCATACTTAGAAATGAAAATGTGTTTTTCACAGTCAAATATATTATCTGTATGCATGCGAATTTTCGTTTTTAAATATTACAAAAGTGCTATTCTTGTATGTGGTATTCTCTAATAACGTTTTACCTGGAAACTAATAATAATAATAAAAGTATAATTAGATGATTGCCATGTAGCGAGTTTCGAGTATAGTTTTTTATGTTCCTGTTGCGTTTCCCAACTAGAATAAAATATCCCTTCGTTTTTCCTTTAATGAAAATATCCTGTATATAACCATTTTGCCCGTGACTGTATATATTCCTACTTGTTACGTCTGCGTCTGCGCGCACAGTCAACTGGCAACGCTGCGCGTCGCGTGATCGTGAACGAGACGAGATCAAAACGGAAGTATTTGATGTTCCTGTTTTTTTTAGTGATTGTTATTAACAATTTCCTAATTAATAGTGGCGATAATTAGACAATGTTAAATATGGATATACATCGATGAATAATTATAAGTAGATACAAGGTAGTTCATTAATATTTCGGATATTTTTTGACATCCTACATATTTATAGGTTATAAACAATTCAGCGGCCGCTCTTCTCTGGCGCCATTTTTGAAAATGGCATTCCACCGCCATCCGACTACGGAAGATTATTACAAAGAGTTCAAACGACTGCAGTCTAACAAGGAGTTATTAAAGAAAGCGACCGAAGAATTTTTAGATAAATTGATAGACCACGTGATAATCGGTGTGGCGTTTCAAGTCCATCGTAATAAAAAATTGAAAGTGATCGAATTGGACGAGGTGGTTGTTAAACAAGAAGGACCGCGCCCTTGTGTTGACATTTTTGGACCCTACAATTTTAAGAAAAAATATGAATGTCTGTGTCGCAACTGCGACAGAGTGGTCGGAGCTTCTGTGTAAGTATTTTACGTTAATTTATATTGTAATTGACAGCATTAGTATTGATTTATAATTACAGTTTGTATACCTATGTGCTGCATTTACAGTGTGCAGTTTTGGGTGTTTCATTTTGTATTTTCATTGGTGTTCAATATTATCAACACGTAAACTGTTTTGTTGTAATTTTAAATTTTGGCATTTTTATATTTTGTGGTATTTTGGTCTTCCAAGGGAAAACTGGAAACTAAAGTACACTTACAGGATGCAAGTGCAACAAGCTTCAATTTAATCATGGAATGGGTTGGCAATGTCCAAAATGGGGCCCAAGGGTTTTTTTAGATAGTCATTATTGCTCACTGTAACTGACGCTCAACGAGCCCATCACTTAGTAGGGGAAGAGGCTTTATCATGCCCATGTTTGTTGAAGCCGGTGGTTGCGTTGCCGACTGCTATTCGGGAGGTTGTGGGTTTGAACTTTGAATCCCACTGCCAACTGTCTGTCTGGGGTGTTGTTGGAATCTATGAGGTGAATGCTGGAGCAGTATTCTTCCCTCTCAGCACCCTAAACCCTGGGCAGCCTGCCTCTGGTATCCCTCAGGATGTCGGAGGAATGAAACATGTTTTTTTTTACTGCTAACATGGACGCTCTCCCCCCCCCCCCCCAAGATTCGCCCACCGAAAGTTTGTCCTTGGAAAATTTGGGCTCATAATCAATGTCACATCCGGGTGAAGTTTCCTTACACGAAACTGGGAAAGTATCCCAAAAGCAAATTTTCATGAGTGATTTTACTGGGGGTGATCCTTTAGGTTAGGATGTGGGTTAGGAATGTTTTGGGACAACTTTCAAGGACAAATTTACAGGGTCGAGTTTTCCAAGGTGGATTGTCAGAGTGAGCATCTGGGGCCTCATAGCCCTGATCAAATCTAAACGTGCATGTTTCCTATAATAATAACAATTTATTGGCGCTAATAATAAAGTTTTACGCAATGCGGTTACATGAATAGACATTTATCAGAGAGGACCGTTTCGAGGATAGTCAAACTCGTAATTTAAAAAGTCGGGTGATTTTAAGGAGAAATGTTTGGATGTACATCCTCTTAGTTTTTGAGCTACAGGGTGTTACAATTTTAAGAAAAAAGTTAGTTTTTTTGTCATAATTTTTTATCACTCTTAGATATTTTTATGAAATTTTGTACACGTTTTCATCATTAAGGAGCATTTTTTGACGTAAAAGATTTTTTTTAATTTTCATCAGTGACGTCCGTACGGGGTTGAACTGACAATTTTTGAAGAAAAAAAATACGCCACCACTTTTTCTAAAAAAATATTTTTGAAATCCTAAATTATTTTGGAGCAAATTTGGTCCCTAGACTTACTTTCGTATGACGTACCGTTTTGGCGTAAAAAAATAAAAACTAAAAATTTTTTGTTTTTGATATTTTGTTAAAATGATGATCTCGCCCACACAGCCGCGATCAACAAATACTACAAGGTGTGTACAAAACGAGGTACAAAATTTCATAAAAATCCGTCACGTGAGTCATGGACGATCCTCAAGCCTGTCAAAAACGTTTTTTATATCTTGAGTTTTTAGCAATGTGACGTCATAACTTTTTTTCTTAAATATTCAACATTTTTAGTAAATTATTTGAAACTTTATTTTTCTGTGTACAACTCAACTTTTAAAAATTATCTAGTTTTATTACAAAAAATTGGATAAAAAGAAGTTTAAAAACTAAAATATTTTTTCGTCAAAACGGATATTTTTTAATAAATAAATAAATTTTAATTAAACGAAATATTTAAAATTGTGTAACAAAGAAAACAATAACTATAACAAATAAATTTCGTCCAATTCTCCGCCAGGAGAGTGCCCAGGATACATGCACTATTTCCGCGTTGGATAGGGATATTCTTAGCGCGTTTGTCGCGGGATTCCGCAATTAAACTTCTGCCTATTCTATTGAGAAAATTTCGTGATTCCTTGCACCATGGGCAAAGTGTCTTGAAAGTCCCATAAATATACCTATAGTCTTTCTCTAGATCTTGATATTTTTTATGTTTTTTTTAGCATGCCCCTTCTGCTGCAGCGGCAGCCTTTACAGCCCCCCCCCCCTCCAATGTACAGTCCCATGCAACGGATTGAACAAATTTACAATGGATATCGCTGTGTCCCTTATTTCTGGGCGCTAAAAAAATTAATTCTGTGCCCCACGTTGGGCGTGCAAAAATTATTGCTGTGTGCAATGGCTTGAGTTCCATATTACACCGCGCAAAATTTCACAAATTAAACCTTGTAACAAACCCTCGCCTTCCTATAAACTTTATTTTTAATAACTAATGAAAAATTGAATTTCAGGCTCCGGCTGGGTTCCGAAACGCTGGAACTCAACACTTGACTTATCAAAAGGAAATCCGTAATTCAAATGAAACAACACTATTATATTCTCGATTATATTTTGACTCATACTGGAAACGATCATTGGCTAACCCGAAAGAAGAGAAATTTTCATTGAACAACAAAAACAAATTATCTGAAATTTCCTTACTTTTACTGGAATTCGAATTGAGACAATTTTCTGAGATCGCATACAAAATAAATCTTTATCACACACGCATTATAATACAATAACATACAAAAATAAAATAGATATTTCTACAAAACAAATAAATAATCTGAAGGCTAACAGCGCAATATTGAAACATTTTACTCCGTTACAAACGGTCGTATACAGAAAAAATAAGTCTCAAACGTACTCAGTACTTTGTTGTAATAATCCAAACTTTTGGACTAAAACAGCCTGTACCAGTGCGATAAATGACGAAAACAACACACATTTTCATCTTTTTTTAAATCGCTAGCACTGGTTCTATGACGATTGACATTGTTGAAATGGCAGCTCGGATACAATGGATGAAACGCTTCCTCTTCTATAACTTGTAACCAAATGCCTGAACACTAATCTTGGAGAGAAATTGGAAAACTCTTCCTGTATAATTTCCTCTTAAAAACACTAGTTGACTGCCGGAAAAATTCATATTTGAAATTTACACGCAACGGACTGTTTCGTATGCTAAGTCAAATGAACCGAAACCGCCTCGAACGCGCACAAACAATTTTAAGTCTTGACTATCTCGTTACCACTTTTTTACGTAAATGCACATTTTGAAGCACCAGGAATCCGTCTGTATTCTCATAAACTCTTAAAAACAAAAAAATGTCAGAAAGTAAACATGTCAATTTGGAAATTTAATAAATGTAGATAGTATTACAAATTAAAAAGACAAGTTATTTTTATGAAAACATACAAACTATGCAAAGAAATGTCAATTTTACCATTTCATTGTGAACACTCTATAACACTAAATCGAACTACAGCCAAATCCATGTATGTATGTTTCCCTTTGTAAGGGACCTTCCTCCAACATTTTCGAGATATTCACAATTACGTTTTCACATGGTCAGTAGATGTGTCTTGTCTTGACGATCTGTCCACCCTTTGAGAGTACTCTCCTCTGACATTCGTTTTGCAGATATTTGCACTGAATGTTTTGACACCACCAGTAAATATGTCTCGTTCTGACGTTCTACTTACCCTTTATGAGTACCCTTTTGTAACACTTCGTTTTCAAGATATTCGCTTCGACTTCACCAATAGATATGTTTTGTTCAGACGATTCATTTTGCCATTGAGAGTACTTTTTGACAAACCGTTTCTGAGATATTCGCTGTTAAGGTTTTGTCATGACCAATGGATATGTCTTCTAGACGTCCCAATCGCCCTTTGTGAGTATCCTCTGACAATCTCTTGAGATATATTCTATATATTCTTGAAAAATGCGCTAAAAATCAAAAAGTGAATAGCTTTCAATGTAGAGTTTAACAAATGACATCGAAACAAATAAAAATAAACAGGGTGCAATAATACCGCCATAATGGGACACCCTGTAACATTCAACAATGATAGCTAATTTTTTTCAAAAATGCTTTAAAAATTGCTCGTGAGGTGATATTAAAACATTGTCACAATAAATCATTCAATTTCTTCTGCTCTCAAAAACAAACATTTTGGTTGAGATTTTGGTGCAAAAATTACAAGTGCAGACATACCTAAATTCCAATTTGAAATCATCATCTAATAAAAAAAAGACAAAAAGTATTGACTTGCTAATCCATTTGTACGTTATGTGCAATGTATGAATACAGTAAAGCTGTGCACTGCATTTTTTATTATTAATATTTGTTGAGATGTTTTTTCGTTGCTTTTGTACTGATTTCTTCCTTACATTTATAACAATTTTGTAAAATAATTTTCATAATTTTTTAGGTTTGCCCCTCATTTAGAGGTATGCATGGGCATGGGTAGAAGTCGTTCTAGAAATGCCAGTCGTAGAATTGCCAATAATAGTCGAGAACGTGAAAATTCAACGTACAGTAGCGGCGTACCCAGTGATGACGAAGACGATATGGATTGGGGTTCCGGCGATAAACGTAAAAAGAAAAAAGATCGTAATGGAAATAAAAAGCTGAAAGGTTTGAAGGTTTTTCCTTTGCAAATAAAAATGTCTAAATGGACGTTTTCAGGTAATTCCAAAAAGAGCACTGATCTCAATGATTCGGCAGAGTCCATCAATATTGATGTTGAAGGGGAAGCTGATGATATTTTAAATTTACGCGACCTTATGCAGGACCTGTCTAGAGGACCATCTCCGGCAGATTCAGTTAGTTCGTCTGGTTCGACGAAACGGAGAGATAAGTCTAAGAACAAGAAACGTAAGGAACGAGTTTCGCCAAATTCGGGAGCCTAAACTGCCATGTCTCAGGTATGACTATTTCTATTTCATTCTATGTCAATGGTTTTTTTCAATCAACGATCAGATTGGCCTATTTGGGTTTTTTTAACCATTTGACATAGACACATCTTGTATGTATAATGGAGGTTTTTTAATTAGCTCCTTAATGAATAAATGAACACGTCCAGATTAAGCAACTTGCAGAAAAAAATTAAATTAATAAATTTTCTATGTTATGAGCAAAATATGAGTATGTAATGAACTTTTTAAAGTCGTCGTCTCGCTCTGCATCGCTAAGGAATGCCCTAGATTCACCTCTATCGCTACTACAACGAACGAGAAATAATATGCATATGCACCAAGATTCATTGTAAGTGGTAAGAGTATAGTGAGGGTTAAGCGGTAGAGCAGTGCTTGTGAGTGAATTTTGATACTAGTATCTGAACTTTGCTCTTGCCGTGCGTGCATATGAAGATATGTTTTTGTCTTAAAATTAATTGTATGTGTTTAATAAATGGCGTTATTATTATTACTACTATTATTAAAGTCTCTTGAAGAAAGATAAGACTGCAGTTTAGTTTGTCTCTTGAAATGGATGGTTTATTGCTGGAACTGGATCCTATACTTTTAGAAGTAGAGAGCGGGTTCACTAAAATGAAAGATGGTTGGCGGTATGTTTTTAGCCACTTTCTCTGTCCGTCTGTCTGTCCGAGGCCTTAACTACTGCTACAGTTTTGGTAGCGTATAGCTCGAGCCAAGGAAAATCTTGAGAATTAAATTGCGCAAGCGCAGACTTCCTTATATATTAATATATTTTGTTGAAATTATATAGATATTTATGGTGAAGGCAAACATATCGCATATAGTAAGAATCAGATGTGCAATGGCAACTTTCCTATTTATGGAGATATTTCTTTGAAATTTTAACCAAAGTTGCTTTTAGTGTAAGCAGACGTATCACATATTGTAATCATTAGATTATTGCGCAATATCAACTGTTATTTATCGAAATATCTTTTTGAAATTTTAATCACAGATGCTTCTGTTAAAGGCAAACATAACTGATTTTGCAAAAATTAGATGCGCACTTGCGCAGTCACTGCCAACTTCTTTATTTATTAAGATATTTCTTTGAAATGTTAACCATAGATGCTTCTAGTAAAGAAAAACATATCACGTGTAGTAAAAATCGAAAACTACAAATGTCATTAGGAAAAACAAACATCGCATACCTATAGCATAAATTATATGTGCTCATGCGCAACGCCAACTTTTTTGTTTATGGAGATATTTCTTTGAAATTTTAACCATATATGCTTCTAGTAAAGAAAATCACAGCGCACATAGCTATGGCCTTATGAAAAGTGCGCTGAAGTTACTCGCCTTTGGGCGAAAACCTTTTTTACTTGTTTGGTTTGTCCCTGTTTGCATTTCTGCTTCGCGAGGGCCTTGGACCATCAGAAGTCACTGTACTATCACATTGCTGGGAGGTAGGTTTACAGAATTCCCAGGAGATAAAAGAGAGGGATAATAAATAAATAGATAAATAAAAAACCAGTTTCAACTTTGGTGTCACAACTAAACTGCACTGCCATGATAACATATCCGTAAAGATGACACATTAAACATTAAAACCTACACAGCAATAAATTGATATGAATGAAACAGGCAATTAAAGTTTTTTAAGTTTATCAATAACATTGAATAATAAAATGAAAGAAATGGGTGGAAATATGCAAGAAACCTTAAAATTAATTAAAAAATATAAACTACTTTCGTTATCCTAATAAAGGAGACAAAAGTTATGTTATAAAAAATCATTTTTTTCATTTTATTATTTTTAAGTTCTAAAAGACTATATTGAGTTTCAAAACAAAGGTATTAGAGGTATTATTTTCATTATTTTAATAATAATAACTTTATTGCCGAACAGCAAAAGCCAATTACTGGACAAACTATAACAACAACAATAATAATAACAAACAATCAATTAACACATATTTAGAAACTAGAAACACACGCAATAACAGAGTAAATAGTAAATAGATATAAATAATTATAAATAGACTACCAAATGCAATAATAATATAATAATTTAATAATAGTGAACAAATTTAAACCTAAGTCTAACATCTTACAAATCGTGAATATACGTATCAATTAGTGATTCCAATGCACAGTTAAAAATATCACAATCAATTTTAATTTTGTTATATGCTGCACACATCACAGTAATCGGGCATTTTAACATTAAATTGGTTTTAGCAAATGGCAACGATCTATCCTGGGTACATGGAGGTTAACTTTCGATAATAGATATGTACAATCGATCTTATTATGCAGTAGGTTGTATAGAAAGGTGAGCGCAATTATTGTTCGTCTGCGGTCTAAGGAAAGTACACCAAACGCATTTTGTAGGATTGTATTGGAAATACCTTGAGGGGGATATACGTTATTTTCTCTGTACCATAAATATTTTAAAAACCTGCGTTGGATATTATCAATTAACTTTTTGTAACGAACATAGTAAGGTGACCAGATTAAGGCACAGTATTCAACATGAGATCGAACAAGCGTACAGAATAAATGTTTTAGTGTATAAATATTAGTAAATTGTTTACTACATCTCATAATGAAACCCAACGTTCTGTTTGCTGATGAAACCAGTTCACATATATGTTTATTAAAAGATAATTTGTCATCAAATATGACTCCCAGGTCCTTGAATTCATTACAATGTATTAAAGTTTGCGTAGAAATGCTGTATTGATAATTTATAGGATGCTTCTTTCCAGAAAACGACATAGTTCTACATTTGCCTATATTTAGATTAAGTTTGTTGGTGCGACACCACTCATGTAAACGCTCCAAATTCCTTTGTAATGTAACACAATCATCAACACATGAGATAGAAGCAAAAAGCTTGACATCATCTGCATACATTAACGTCAGCAATTTAGCACCTCAGGAAGGTCGTTTATGAACAATACAAAGAGAAGGGGCCCCAAAATGGAACCCTGTGGTACTCCTGTCCTTGCCTCATAAGCGTTTGACGCATATCCATTATAGACTACTATTTGGTGTCTGTTGCAAGAAGGCAATCACTAAGCCCATACAGACGCAATTTTGTTAATAATAAGGGGTGATTTATGCAGTCAAACGCTTTCGAAAGATCCATATAAATCACGTCAACTTGACCTTTGTTGTCGAGAATTTCGACCGTAAACTGATAGAAAGAACATAGATTCGTGCATGTTGATCGCTTATCGACAAACCCGTGTTGATCTAATGATCTATGACTTTTTAAAGAGTTATATATCCTATTGTACACAATTATCTCAAATAATTTTGAGAACTTTGATAAGATTGCTATTGGTCTGCAGTTGCACACATTTGTAGAGTCCTGTCCATGACCTTTAAAAACGGGGCATATGCGGTCTTCCAGTTAATAGGGAAAGTTGATGTCGTTATGCATAAATTAAAGATTATGATCAAAGGATATAAGAGACTATCAGCACAATCCTTAATCAAAAAACTCGGCACTTGATCAAACCCCGCAGTTGGTTTATTTTTAAGTTTAGCCACTGCTGATTTAATGTCACTTTCGGATATGTTTTTGATACTTATAGATGAATTACTAACGATAGAGCTAGAAATGTACAGATGATTTTCTTCATCAGATAACGCCGTTTGATAAACAGAGTTAAAATGTGTAGCAAAAGCGTTAACAATTTGAAGAGGGTTAACAAAAGATGCATCGTCTTTCCACATCTTACCTGGTATTCTTGAGGAACGTTTCCTAGCATTTATTTTAAACTTTCCAGCATATTCCCGCCTATTTCTTCTTTTGTTTTTCCTGCATTTTATACAATCTTTGCAAGAAAAGGTTTGCTTATATCTTGATAATCCGATGTGCAATTGTTTTTCTGATTCGACCATTGCAAATTGTGAGAAAAACTGAGTCAGACCAAACCAACTTTGTAGCTGCAATAATAAAAAAGTTAGCAATAGTGTCGACTTCACTTTGGAAACATTGTATGTATTAGCAGCTTAGACCATACAGTACGTGGACTGCTATTAGAGGTATGCTTTGAATACAAAATGGGTGTTCACTGTAAGTATGTGAATCTGGGTAAACTGAAGTTTTGTGAACACTCGGATCGTGAAAATCCTAGGTTCCTAGCAACCACGTAGTACAGGAAGCATTTAATACTTCGGCATATCTATATGATTAATTAATTGACGTTTGTTAATACTTTGACAGTCTCAAATCGTGTCTCATCGGACAACTTTGAACAAACTCGTTTTACCCTGAGACTTGCATACTGAGGCGGTGTCCTTTATCATATTTTACTTGCAATTAGCAATCCATGTACTGTAGGGACTAAAATTAGTAGTGTAAATGCGGAAATACACGGTAATGAACACCGGATACAATAATTCTATTAGTAAATAAACCCACTATATTACCAAAGAACGTATGAGTACGCCACTGGAAGTGGGACGCCAATGAGACCGTATCCGGTACTTTAGTTACAGTCGCGGCCATTTTTTTTATACGTCGCCAAGCTTTTATTTGCATTTGCACTTTGCAGCTGTACGAACGCCGCGCCGCCCGGTGTTGTAAATTTTTGTAACCATTTTATTCAATTATGAGTTTTTTAATAATTGATTAGTATTTAATATTTAAAATATAGCAGAAGTTCGTGGGCGCGGAAAAAATGATTGTGGAAAGACATTGTGCTTGGGTGTAAGGTGTAGTTCTTTTTGTTAGCGTAGCCAAACTGACAAAGCATTGAAAATGGCGTCGGGCGTGTTCTTTGGTGTGGTGAAAATATTACTATGGCAAATTGGTTGAAGATTGATATTGAAAAATTAGATTATCAACAGCGTTACATACACCCAACTTGGATTATTTCTGAATCACCAACCAAGGCAAAGAATTGATGAAAAATGCACAAGTGATTTCGAAGAGCAAACCAGAGTGTTTTATGGTACGTTACCTGAGAACTTTTCTTTACGGGCGGAGGTGAGTTTCAAACACTGTATTTTAAACAACCAACCTGGGCATCTTCAACGTTACTGTTGTATAAGATGAGGTGGATAGTCAAGGCGGTTTAATGTCGATAAATCATCAAATGATTAAGATCAAAAATATTGCAATATTTACGAACTAATTATAGGATGGGTACCCATTTTTCACATGTTATTTCTATCATTGTAAAGCACTGTCCACATATCTACAGGCTGTGGGCACCGTTTACAATTATCCCCCGTTTTATTTCTGCATTTTTCTGTTGTGGATTGTTGACGCTTCCGGCTAGGGGTAAGAAAGGAAAAAGGCCAACGTGTTTCATTGGCACCCCTGACTACAGGAATACCGGAGGCAGGCTGCTCAGGGCTTCCTGGCCCTCTTCAGCCAGAGAACGGGATTGTAAGGATGGGTAAAGTTAGGGATGGGAACGGAAGGAACGGAGTTAGGGTGCTGAGGGGGAGAGTACTGCTCCAGCATTCGCCTCGTAGATTTCAACATTATGCGAAGCTACGTATGTCTGAGGAAAACCCCCTGACAAAACCCCAGACAGAGCAGTCGGCAGCGGGATTCGAACCCACAACCTCCCGAATAGCATCGGTGAGTGCATCCACTGCGCCACGTGCCTCAGTTCGGCTAGGGGTAGAAGATGCTCTCACTTGATATACTAAACAATTACATCGGAGCGAATATTCTCGATAAATCTTGGGTGAGGTCATTTTGACCGCGGTTCTAGGTAAAGGTCAAATTGACCGCTTCCGCGGTTCTAATAATAATAATAATGTATCACCAACTGTAGGGCGGACAACAGGTGCAAACGAATGAAATTTCGAGTTCAGATAACGGGTCCATGTGAATTTAAAAAAAAAATTGCAGAAATGCTTGGAAATAGCCTATTTTTTTTAAGGTGATGGTTTTTTTGCGCAAATGTGCCGTTTTTTCACATTTTCCAAAAAACTAGTAGTTCCTTAAATGTACAATAGATGGCGCTGCCTATACATAATAAAATCAATAATTATTAAAAATGTTCCTATAGGAAGAAATTCAAATATATTATAGCGTTTAGAAGGGTCTAAATTCATTTCTGCTTAATGTTCTTAATAGAGAAACGTATGCATAACAATATCCTAAAATACTCACATGTGCTTCATTTTATTAAAAGAGAAACTTTACCATAACAATAACCTAGGACAATACACAGTGCAATGACCTAAAGAAACCCATGATGCAATGACCCAAATTCAATGCCCTAATTAATGCACAGTAGTACCAGTAAGTATTTTATTAACAGAATAATTGTTGTGTTGAAATATACATAAGTCAATCCTTAATAGTAGGGTTCCTTCGTCAGCATTTGCATGCCATCCAGGCAAGACTACATGGAGGTGTAACCCACCTTGTCCGGGAGAAGACGAGAAAGGAAGTCAAAATTGGTAAACAGGAATAAAATTGAAGGTGGACAAAATAAATATGGGTGAAATGAAAGAGAGGAAAGATGAACTTAAAACAAGAACACTGGTAACATACTAATTGTTGTACGTGTGACATTACCTAAATTCCAGTAACATAATGAGGAATGATATCGGATCCGGAAACAGAATGTGACCTGTAATAAAAGTGCATTTATAAAAACTGGCGGATTAGGCTAACACATTATCTTACCTGTAAAAAACACTTAAAGTGCATTTTCTGGGGCCTGTTTCTTCGGAGTTTTCTTCTTCGACATTGGCCCCGGAAGGTGGGTACAATGTTGTGGCAGCCTGCATGAATGCATGCAAATGATCGGCGCTAGGCATTAACCGCTTGAACATGACAAATAATTTGCTGATAACACAATCCTCTTCCCGACCATGGCACAGCTCAAAGAGAAGTATCTGTATCTATGATCAACTTAATATTGCTACATTTCTTACAATAAAATATGCAAAAATTGGTTACCAGGTCGGATGTTTCCTTAATGATTTGTAGAAGAGTAACTAGAGTATGATCAGGGACGGGAACCAGGAAGCAATTCTGGGAGCCACGTTCAATGTCACCAAAACCCACTGACCTTTGATTCTTCGTCCACGGTTGTACTTCTGCTTGCCTATCTTTGCTTCGTCAATCTCAACCGTAACTCCTTCTCCACCTAAAAGCACAGAACGGCGGGTTATATACACAATACAAACCTCTCTGCAAAAGTTGCTCCAATCAACGACGCTAGTCCGAGAGATGGCAAGGTGCTCCGTGAGGATGGCTTGTTTGGGGGTGCGGGGAGATCAGCCAGTAAGCAACGAAGCAGCAAATTGTAGCAATATCCATCGCAGTTCGTTCGGTAAACTATCGACGTACCGGTCATTTTTTCATATTTAATGAAAATAAAATTTGAACTGTCGCTAGATATTGTAATATTTTCGAGATTTCAATTCTGTTTAAGTTGTGAGAAATTGTGAGACACTCGAATAGTTTCCACACACACATGCGTGAGCAAAACACGCTCCAGCAGGCCAGTAAACGCATGTACCAAGCGCGAGGTTACATAAAGGGAACCACTAAATGGTGGCTTTTTGGACGCTTTAAGTAGGAATGGAGTCAAATTGTCCATATTTGGATGGGGGTTTAATTACTTGCAGATGTTACATTTTTCAAAACCTCTGCAGTTATTGCTACTCTTGGCATTCTGCAATAACTCTTTGTCATAGTTTTGCAAATTTTCGTTGGAACACCTTGTGTTATAGCTTAACATAATATGTGCTTTTTAACAATTGTTTTGAATTAAAAAAAATGTTTTTAAGTTTGATACATTCAGGGACGATGTTTTGTATGTTGACCCTGAGACAGTTATTTTACAACCTTCCATTTTATACTATGTAAATAAAAAATCAGAACGCTAATTTGTATGTTCTCTATTTACAGATTCGACCTTTCTTTGCACACCATCTGGCTATGCATCCTTGTTCTTGCTTTTGGGATTTGAAGGCAGTCGTGACCACAGCAAATGAGCAGTTAATAAATGAAGTAGTACCACCACAAGAACGTTATGAGTTGAAAACAATCCTGATGATTGTGACTACCTCTTTTCGAATTAACAATTGTACATTTGTAGTTTTGTATACTTAGTCATTTAAATCAATTTTTTTAATTGGAAATATTTACACGCATTAAGTTTCATCGATCACGTCTTAGTTGGGTATATTGGGTGGTGGTGGTAAGTAGAAACATAGGGATTTAACATGGGAAATTAGTTTATGTAATATCCTGCCCTCCTGTACATTTTACAGAAAAAACTGTAGAGTTTGAAGTTGTTCAGAATTAAAAGGTGCACACAAAACTGTTTTCACATGTTTTTGGTACATATACCAAAAGCTTAATAAAACATGTAAAAACATTTTCTATGCACCTTTTAATTCTGGACAACTTTAAACTTTAAAAATTTACAGGAGGGCAGGATATAGCATAAAACTAATTTCCCATGTTACATCCCTATGTTCCTACTTACCGTGCACCATCCGGTATAATAGGATGTTGTGAATACATAAAAATTAATATCATTTTCTAATTAATTTTTTGTAACCTAAAAAAGGATTGCCACAGATATTTACAAGATGCACCGTAGAATTCAGAAGCTTTACTCATTGGTCCGCTTCGTGAAGTATCACCCACACTAGTTAAAGGAACGAAGAAAGGACAACTTATCGAACAGAGAGCACACTAGTCAGCTTGTGTACAGAGCAGGGGTTGAACTGAGTAGATCCTTGACAAAAAAATCTGTTCACAAGACACAGTGGGTTGCTCACATTCCATTCCACATGTACTTGGGAGTGAATATAAATATATATAACAAAAATACAATAAAACCAAGACTACAATGGATAACTTATGGAATAATAGTCAACTTTTGTACAGATTGAGGGTTGAACTGAGTAGATCCTCGACAAAACTTACGTACAGATTGGGGGTTGAACTGAGTAGATCCTCGACAAAACTAGTGTACAGATTGAGGGTTGAACTGAGTAGATCCTCGACAAAACTAGTGTACAGATTGAGGGTTGAACTGAGTAGATCCTCGACAAAACTAGTGTGCAGATTGAGGGTTGAACTGTGTAGATCCTCGACAAAAGTAGTGTGCAGATTGAGGGTTGAATTGTGTAGATCCTCGACAAAAGTAGTGTGCAGATTGAGGGTTGAATTGAGTCGATCCTCTACAAAAGTAGTGTACAGATTGAGGGTTAAACTGAGTAGATCCTTGAGAAAAAAATCTGTTGCTCACAATCCAGAAGCATTGGAAGTATAATTCGACGTAGAGTGCTTATGGAAGGGTTTTTGCGAAGGGTTTTTGCGATCATACGCATCTCGATTTGATAGGGGTTTATTATATTCCACTCATTTGCAACTGCATCAAAGGCATAATTTTCATGGACATAATAAAAGCATGGCCACAAGGGGCAACTTATCGAACAGAGGACGCACTAGTCAACTTTTGTACAGATTGAGGGTTGAACTGAGTAGATCCTCGACAAAACTAGTGTACAGATTGAGGGTTGAACTGAGTAGATCCTCGACAAAACTAGTGTACAGATTGAGGGTTGAACTGAGTAGATCCTCGACAAAACTAGTGTACAGATTGAGGGTTGAATTGAGTAGATCCTCGACAAAACTAGTGTGCAGATTGAGGGTTGAACTGAGTAGATCCTCGACAAAACTAGTGTACAGATTGAGAGTTGAACTGAGTAGATCCTCGACAAAACTAGTGTGCAGATTGAGGGTTGAATTGAGTAGATCCTCGACAAAACTAGTGTGAAGATTGAGGGTTGAACTGAGTAGATCCTCGACAAAACTAGTGTGCAGATTGAGGGTTGAACTGAGTAGATCCTCTACAAAACTTACGTACAGATTGAGGGTTGACTTGAGTCGATCTTCTACAAAACTAGTGTACAGATTGAGGGTTGAACTGAGTAGATCCTCGACAAAACTAGTGTACAGATTGAGGGTTGAACTGAGTAGATCCTCGACAAAACTAGTGTGCAGATTGAGGATTGAACTGAGTAGATCCTTGAGAAAAAACCTGTTACTCACAATCCAGAAGCATTGGAAATATAATTCGACGTAGAGTGCTTATGGAAGGGTTTTTGCGATCATACGCATCTCGATATGATAGGGGTTTATTATATTCCACTCATTTGCAACTGCATCAAAGGAATAATTTTCATGGACATAATAAAAGCATAATCACAAGGGGCAACTTATCGAACAGAGGACACACTAGTCAACTTTTGTACAGATTGGGGGTTGAACTGAGTACATCCTGGACAAACTAGTGTACAGATTGAGGATTGAACTGAGTAGATCCTCGACAAAACTAGTGTACAGATTAAGGGTTGAACTGAGTAGATCCTGGACAAAATTTGTGTACAGATTGAGGGTTGAACTGAGTAGATCCTCGACAAAACTAGTGTGCAGATTGAGGGTTGAACTGAGTAGATCCTCGACAAATCTAGTGTACCGATTAAGGGTTGAACTGAGTAGATCTTCTACAAAACTAGTGTGCAGATTGAGGGTTGAATTGAGTAGATCCTCGACAAAACTAGTGTGCAGATTGAGGGTTGAACTGAGTAGATCCTCGACAAAACTAGTGTACAGATTGAGGGTTGAACTGAGTAGATCCTCGACAAAACTAGTGTGCAGATTGAGGGTTGAACTGAGAACTGAGTACATCCTGGACAAACTAGTGTACAGATTGAGGATTGAACTGAGTAGATCCTCGACAAAATTAGTGTACAGATTGAGGGTTGAACTGAGTAGATCCTCGACAAAACTAGTGTGCAGATTGAGGGTTGAATTGAGTAGATCCTCGACAAAACTAGTGTGCAGATTGAGGGTTGAACTGAGTAGATCCTCGACAAAACTAGTGTCCAGATTGAGGGTTGAACTGAGTAGATCCTCTACAAAACTAGTGTCCAGATTAAGATTGAACTGAGTAGATCCTCGACAAAACTAGTGTGCAGATTGAGGGTTGAATTGAGTAGATCCTCTACAAAACTAGTGTACAGATTGAGGGTTGAACTGAGTAGATCCTCGACAAAACTAGTGTGCAGATTGAGGATTGAACTGAGTAGATCCTTGAGAAAAAAACCTGTTACTCACAATCCAGAAGCATTGGAAATATAATTCGACGTAGAGTGCTTATGGAAGGGTTTTTGCGATCATACGCATCTCGATTGGATAGGGGTTTATTATATTCCACTCATTTGCAACTGCATCAAAGGAATAATTTTCATGGACATAATAAAAGCAAGACCACCACAAGGGGCAATCCATCGAACAGAGGAAAGGAATTAATTTCTACCAACCATAGCCCTCCTCCTCGACCTCTTATCGTGATCGGGTATATTCCCTTATACCTCAAGAAGGGATTGTCTGAAGAGGGTATTCACAAAGGGCGATTGAGACGTCTGCAAGAAATATATCCATTGGTTATGTCAAAACAAAAGCTATTTCGGTTTGAAAAATCCGCTTTATCTGCACAAGAGTTGTGCACAATGTATACTTGTTTGATAATCTTTTCGAGTGGTTTAGTTACAGTACGGATATGGTTATTTACATCTAGATATATACAATTGTATACAATTAGTCAAAGGCAAGTGCATCCTATGACGTTTGCGTTGCGTCCGATTTTCCTTGCCTGAATGCATCTTTAGGCGATGGTTCGACACGGGGCGTGGACATTCGCTTAGCTCGTTTTTCGTGTTTCCGCACCTTCCTCGGGGTAGTTGTAGCGTCATCGTATCGCAGAACTGGATATGGAGCGCTGTTGAATAATTAACCGCGCTATACGAGGTTGGTGTGCCGATTACCGCACTTTAAACGCTTGGCTGACTGATTCTTTTGCTTACTGTCAGAGCTCGCATCAGAATGATGAATCGAACGATGAACAGTCCAAAAAGACTGATCCCATTGAAGCCTTCTGTTGGCGTATTCTACCGCCCCGAGCACTTGGTGGTGACCCTTCCGCAATCCGAATTGCTCGTCTTGAATGACGCGTCACTCCTCCGTTGGGCCCTGCAGCCTTCTTAGAATCACTTCTTCCGCTACTTCGGCGATCGTCGACAGCACGATGATCAAGTGGGTAATACACGGCTTGCGTATCGCCTTATAAAAGGCCTGCCCTATGACGGCGGTGGTTGTTTGTTTCGCATTGTGTGGCGATAAGTGCGTCCGTCGCGTTTTAGCTCGGGGTTGTTTGTGCTGTAATGTGTGCATGCCACAGTTTTGAAAATGAAGAAAGGTTTTTTGCGACTTGTACAGAACTGGTAAATTACATTCTTTTGTAAGCAGGGAAGAAAGCAAATTGTGTCTGTAATTCAAGATATACTTCAAGAAATTGCCGTTTATGGCCATCAGGGGGGAATGCAATTTTGAAATTAATGAAACTTACAAGAGATGGAATAAACAAGCCAAAGACGCAGGATTGTTTCAGACGTGTGCTTGTTGCTACGGTTGTATATTTCGTAAAGATTGTGTAAGGAAACGTGTGAACGTTCGCGTTTGAATATAAATTGGACCTTACCTGTCTTCGCGATTGCGAGTCCCATTTTAGTTTACTACATTTTATTTCTGTGTACACTGTACGTACATTAGACATTAATTTCCAGTAGACTTTTTTTGATTACATTTTGTATAAAACTCATGTGTGCACATGTACACTCAAAATTACTCATTAATTTGTGATACTTACCTGTAGCAATCGCACTCACGGCTGAACGCGAACACATGATTCCGATTCAACTGAATGCCTAATTAATGACGTTGACACGGTTGCGCTCTAGTTTGATGCAAGTTAACATAGGGTAAGTACGGGAGAGACGCCACACACCACTCCAGACCTTCTGCCTAATCTAAAAGGGATGGTCATCAGGAGGGCACAGCTGCCAGTGACTGGCTCAGGCTTCGGGAAATGAAAGAAAGCAAGGTGACCGATTGTGGTTGAACCCCATTTTCATTCGTTTGTTGTCTCGCATAGTCACCATCGACCCGGCCATGGAATTATTGCCATAAGAAATAATTGCAAACTTCAAACATTTAAGGGATGATGACACAACCGCGAGATACCTGCCAGAAATGTATTTTCTTAATTGGCTGATAATAAAGCATCATTTAAAATGGATGGTTTGCTAGCTCTCTCACCATAACCCCCCCTCTATTTACTGGATTATTCGTAAGCTTCAATTTTATTCGTTGCTGTGCATTTCTTCATAATGGTGGGATCTGTAGCATTCCACTCATCAAAGAATTGTGTAGCTCTACGGTTGGTTTAAGCATTGGCAGCTCAGAGTGTAATATCGAATAATATGTAGCAGGTGTTTAGAAGACGCAAGACTACATTTACATGGGGTGCATTTTCATCACGCTTGGTATTATTTATAAGGGTTAATAAAAGTAACCATTTGCGAGTACTAATGTTTCGGAGGAAATAAATATGTATAGGGTATCTAACCTATTTTCCGATACACATCAAACCGACTACGTTAAAAGCCTTCAGGGTCAATGACAC